GGGGGGTACAAACTAAGCCACGTTTGGGATAGCGTTCTCGCCGCAAAAGCGCCACATACACCGGCTACATATAGCGGCGAAATGCAGTACTCCAGTCAGAAGCTCTGAAGAAGGTGTCTGACAGACACCGAAACGTCAGCAAGGTGAGAATTTACCGGTTGTGTAAAAAGAAATACCTGTCTCATATGTAAATTCTGTCCTGACATCAAGAAGTGCACCGCACTGTTTTCAAATAACGGAATCTTGCCCAATAACACCGTGAGTAATTGAGAAATCCACGAAAATGAATGCAAATTTTTAGGTTTCATGATCAGATATGTAACAGTGCTGTAATGATTGAACGTACAAAGTCTGGCAATATCTTCCTGTCAGGGGTTGACTGGGCCTCCTCCACTCAAGCTTGTGCCCATACACATCTAACTAGAGAGAACCATTCCCATTCCCAGAACGACATCTCAGGATTCTTTATCATTATGGAAATTTGTCCAATAAGAGCCCAGGATCCTCTGTCACCATGGAAACCAGTCATGCGCACATACCTGCATGGTAACCCAGGCCTTGTCCTTGTCCGTGTCTATCTCCATGGGGATGTGGCTCATCTGAGTGGCCCAGGTGAACCACTGGCTCTCTATGGCCCTAAAAAGTACAACATTAACACAGAACTTTATACGTGTACTAGGTAAAAGGTAAAGATAGCCCCACAGCCTTTTGAGACCGTAGGGGCACTGTGTTTTCCCTCACCTTCCACCACCCAGGTCGGGTACCCATTTTACACCTAGGTGGAGTGGAAAACTCAAAACACCCAACGTTTAGCAAAGAATGCCAGTTTTGTTACTTTCGTGACACGTAAATAAACTAACAAATCGAAATATTGTACAGCTGATGCACGTTCACTTTTGGAATCATTTACAGCCGTCACTGCTGGAAATACGTAGATAAATGTTTTTAAAAGCACACATACTAAAAAGAATCTATAGCTAACCTATGTACCTCATCATCAAATACATGGCGATGGTTTTGCCCAGTCCCACGTGTGGGTAGAAAGACGTGACGAAGATGGCAGGGAACAACACAGCCAACACTGCCTCCTGTGGAATATAGTTTTAATTATTGTAATTATTTGATTCACTTTATCTAAAAGGTAATATCAGAGGGACCTCCATAGGTATCAGTCTATCATTTGGAAAGTTATATATATTTTGGACAGATAATACATTTTTGGACATGTTGGTACGTACACATCAGGTACTAGTATATGTATTTGATTGATTTGATTTCTTGAAATTGTAACAATACAATACACGTGGGACAAAGGCAGCTATTGCTGGTGTTGTGTCCCACACATAGAAACAAATACAGGGCAGACAATACTCATTTTCATTTGAGTTGAGGAAAGTCCTGTAAAGTGCCTTTCACAAGGCAAGGACAGAAGATTGGGACTCGAACCCGGGACCTCTTGGTTCTGAGTCGAACACGTACTCTGCCGTTACGCCACGAGACCCCACGACCATAGGTCACATTGTATTTTTGCGTATACGAATACGTACATGCCACTTCTGCCGTGTAAAGATGAAGCGGTACACCATGATGTGGTAGTAGACAGGCACCAGCGCCACCGTCAGAACTGGGATGGAAGGGAGAAAACATCAATCAGGCTGGGACAGAAACAACCCACAAGGGTGTAAGATAGACTTTTCCGTAGCGAGATGCTGAGTTTTTGAGGTAAACATGTCTGTCCTTGGTGCTGAATGCCATCAATGCACAGACATGCACGCACGAATGCACACACACAAAGGAAAAGATATCTGTTCTTGGTGCTGAATGCCATCCATGTACAACACAAATACACCCACTCACAATCGCGCGCGTGTAAACGCACGCAGAGGTACGTTCTCTCCTGTATGTCTCGGATATTGAACTGCCATTCGCACACACACACAAAGGCTAATAGCTTTCTAAATATCTTTCTTTGGTGCTCAATGCACCATGTATTTGTACTGGCCCATGTAGTAGAGATGCTTAACACCATCCACACACACAAAGATACATACACCTGTTCTTGGTGCTGAATGCAATTCATGTACATACCCACCTATACACTTACACATATAGACGCACACATTCCTGTCCCAGATGCTGAGAACCATTCACACACATTTTGGACACCGAACAAGACTATTTCTTTAAAGGGGTGAAAGAAGCCATATACATCAGGGCCCACCACCCTTCATTGAACCGCGACGGGGGCCGACATCATCTACCAGATACCTTTAACCCTGTGTTGACGTCACACTTCAAAGTGGCCACGTGGCAAGCTTCGATTCACTGGGTCAGTCTACTGAGGAAGACCAGAGTGACTGGTCGAAAGCTCTAGGTGACCAAAAAGGTTTAAATTTAAACATTCACACACATATTTAACATATCTGTCCTTGGTGCTGAATTCCATCCATTTACACACGTGCGCACTCTATGCACATGTAGTACTTACTCATATAGTAGAGATGTTGCAGGTTGTACGGCGGGCCGTTCTTGTTCTTCTTCGCTACCTGCACAGGCATGACGTCACCAACCACGAACACAGCCTCCACGCGAATGTCCGGGTCCTTGTGGATCTGTAATCATGATGTTTCCGTGAATTATGATTTTCAAAATATTTTTTATGAAAACATACACAAACTACATGTAGTTCATTTCAAGAGCAACCTTTCTGTTGATCGTCATAAATAATACAATAATGTAATAATAAAGATGGTTTAATTGATATCTGAAAGAACGTTTAACTCACCACGTTCGGCTTGGCGTGATGTTGGTAGTGTTGGTTCTTCCACCAGGCCGAGGACGCTCCCTGTGGGACCGATGATAGAAAACAACTGTCAGGAGATATTAGGTTTTCTTGTACAGGTTATGGTTGCTTTTGATGTACATGTATATGCATCAAAAGCAAAAGGTATGGAAGTATTGGTTTGGGTGGCTGAGATTATAGGTCGTCTATCTTTCTGTTCAAATTGCTTTCGTTTTCATGTTGGGTGGGAGGTGATTTTTAAAGTTGATTGATAGGGAGGACACCTAAAAGTGACCCAGCACGCCTCGTCAGGAAGTGGTGAAATACCCGATTAAATTACATCATTGTTGTGACACATATGAATTTACTAGAGGTTGTCGTCTATTATGGGTTTATAAAAGACGAGAACTTAGTTCTACAACACCTTCAAGAGCCCGATGACGACCTGGTGAGCTAAGTTGTCCATCCACTTTGTCTTGAAGACAGACAAGTGTCCAAAGTCGTGCTGCAGCCAGCCTGCCTGGGTCTAAGGAACAACAACATAGTAAAAGTCGATTAGTCTACAATAAAGCACGACTTTAGAATATTTTAGCAATGATAACACAATGAAGCAAGACTTGCAGTTTTCTGTCAGTTCATTTTGTGACGCTGAAGAAGTGTGGTGGATGTCACTCGAAACGTCCGGAAATAATCTCCGTTATTTATCCAGCAGTAGAGTTTGAATTGTCTTTGAATATCGTTTACCTGGATGTCTAACCTTCATCAATGCACAGTTTTGCTTCTGTTTTGAAGGCACTAGTATAATTGCCTTCGTCAGAAGGCTATGCAATCGTTTGCGGTATGCGGCATGAAAGCTTGAAGGCATGGATCGATATTCATGATTTTTAGCATGCAGGTTACCGTTGGATAGACGGTGGTCAAGTTCGAAAATGGGCCTCATGGGGGCCCTACGACCTTTTGTCTTTAAACACCATATAGACCTCGTTCATACGTACGTTGGTAAAAATTTGTACCTGTGATATGGCCAGAGCAATGCTGGCCAGCACGACCGGCACCCATCCTGCTCCGTACTGAGAGATGATGAAGTACGCCAACACGTCTAGCAGGACGATGTGTGCCAGATGTACGCCGAAGAACGTGTAGCTGGGCTTGAACAATCCCTGGGAAATATACAACACACCATGATGTTCTCTTGTGTTCTCAAACAAACGTTTTAACAGGAAGTCAGAGATTTAAAACTTAAGGGAAGAAGATATTGATTGTCTTAATGAATTAAATCATAAAATACATTATTACTCACATGAAGTATTACTACTACACCATGGTTTATGTTTCTTACATTTCTGGCGACAACCCTTGAACCCGGTTCAATCAAGTTAAACCCAATCTCTGCCCTCTCATTTCGGACCAAAACATACAAACCTAGCATAAATCAGCGCCAACCAAAACAATATTTCCGTCCCAGGAGTAAAAAGTAAAGACGGTATTGACTTGATGACACCTTCTTGTGTGTACACAAGTTCTTTCGTGTTGGGAGTTACTGATATATTATAGTTTAGAACCCGTTTCATAATTCCATGAATTGAAAGCATGCACTTTTCTCACCATTTTGTCCACGGTCTCTCTGAGCTCACGGAAGTCCTTCTTGATCTGATCCGTGGCTTGCGGACCTCCGTCGTCTAGCCTCCCGATGCACAGCGGCTTCATGTACTTCTGCACCAGGGCCTTGTCGTTATGGAAGGACAGCCACGCCTCCTAGCGGAACAAAAACAAATACCATGTACAAATGCAAAGGCTCTGACTGGCAGTCCAAGATTTAGCTAAATATTGACGCCACAATAAAGACCAATAACGTGAAATTAATATGATATCAATTGTACCATACGAATTTCACTGATGTAAATCAAGATACAATAGCATAAAGAAGAGATGCGTTGGACTATTCAGCTATCAAAACATATTTCTTCATCTCTAAGCAGATATTTAGGTGGCCGCAAAAGACAGTTTCAAATTGGCCAGGCAGTATCCATTAGCCAGGCAATATCCATTGAACACTCCTCTGGCCAATGGATACTGGCTCGCCACCGTATGATCTGCTTGGAAATTACACATTTCTCACATTCTAGCAGGAATGTGTAATCCCCCAACATGGCGGACTCTGAATTACGTTGAGTCACGTGAGGGCAAGCTTACGGATGCATCCTGCCCGGCATAGTGACGTAGGATTTTGGCTCCTCCCGGGTGACGTTTGGCCCAGTGCGTGACGTCATAGACCAGGTCGTCGATGACGAACCACATGTCGTCCTTGTTGTCATGGGAACGGACGTCAGCCCACGTCAGCAGCCGGTCACGTGGTGGCGCGCCGTTAGCAGCTGGGATCTTTTCTTTCTCTTGCGGTGCCATCTTGACGGTTTCAATATCTGAAACAAATCAAGCATGCAACAGACTGAAGGAAGGCCTAATTTATTTAACATGATTCAATGTTTGGCCACAGCAAGTAAATTTCATGGATGACATTCTCTGCAGACTCCAAATCTAATGCGAGCGGGCGAAAAAAAAACAAGGCGGGCCGGAAAAAACAAGGTTCCTACATTTTAAAATTTTGACTCAATCATTGTACAAATGGTTTTGATTCAGTGGGAACATCACATATACACAGTCAGCATCACATATCACTGCATCAAAGTAAGAAACAAAACATTAAATCAGAGCTTTTTCTTGTCTCCTCTCTCCATAGTTTTATCCAAAGTCAAGCGAAAATTAATGCGCGCGCTGATGTCATCCATAAAAATTACTTGCTGTGGCCTTATTTAAAATGACAAGAATTGTCTCCAGGTGATAGTATAATAGCGTCGCGTTCTCTAATTCAGATTTAAAACCTAGGTAATGATGCATAACGTATCGTTATGCAAAGGCGTGCATGACTACAGTAATACTAAGGATTTATGACCCATAAGCCTGTGTGATCTCCCAGTGGTATCATCATGTTTTAATTTCATAACGTAACGTAGCGTTATTTCGCCAATGGGTACCTGACTACAGTAATACGAAGGATATATAACCCATATGCCTGTATTGGATATGATCTCCTGGTGGTATTATAGATTTAAAACCTAGGTAATGCTGCCTGAAACGTGGCGTTAGTTTGCCACTGGGTACCTGACTACAGTAATACTAAGAATTTATCATTCACCCTTCGTGTATATGTGGTCATAAGGCTTCAGTACCATGGAATCCAAACTCGCTGTCCGGGCCGCAAAAGCCCTTCGCCCGCTGGTGTAAATTACCGCTACGGGGGAGTCTAGCCCGGGGGGAGTTTGGCTGGCCGGACAAACGAAAGGGCCAGCCAACTCCCCTCGGGCTCAACTCCCCCGTAGCGGTAATTTAGGCGGGCGAAGGGCTCTCGGCTGCCGAAGGAAAACGGCTAACGGCCCGATACTAGTTTGGCATCCAGGGTAAGGCTTCAGGGGCGATATTCGGCTATGTGTGACAGGGGCGTACTATTCTGCTGAACTTTGTGTCTTTGTTCAACACGTATCACACGACTGCCCCACTGAGAATGACCTCAGCAAAATTTGATGTCGTTGCCCTATTGTTTGACACCGGTGGGCGTAACATTACCTCGAACACGCCCCTTGGCCTTTTTCTAGCCTCCATAGCATGCCAAAAAACTGAGGGTTTTGGGGGTCTTCAGGGTCTTTGGGATCTTTTATGTTCTATTTTCTGATTGCATATAGACAACATAGCCGGCCTGGTTGAATTACCCCGTTTTTTGGAACTGGGCTAATCAGAAAACAGCCGAAGACCACCAAATCCCCAGTTCTATATGATCTATAAGCCTGCTACGGAGGCTAGCCTTTATGCAAGATTCAGTGTGAATGGCACTGTACATGTACGTGTCCGGTACACCAATGACAACTATCATGTTCCACATGTGTGCATGCACTCAGGTCTTAATAGACGTACATTCCGAGAAATATATGTTCCTGACATTCACAACTACATCTACTATCAAGGGAAATAGGAGGAACACCTGTGCAATTTGAAGAAAGGCTAACACCTTTCGTCACTCGGGAGCAATGTACGATATCGATTTTTTTGTCACGTGAGTTACGTAACGGATAGAAGGTGTTATCAGGTGTTATATAAGGCCACAGCAAGTCATTTTTATGGATGACATCAGCGCGCGTTAATTTTCGCGTGATTTTGGAAAAAAAGAAGACATTTTGTTGCACTCTGACAGTGGTCAACATGCCAATTGCAAGAATGGGCAAAGGTGTCTGTTGCCATGTCGGAAGGTGGATGGCTGATAACTATAAAGATAGGAGACAAGAAAAGGCTCTGATTTAACGTTTTGTTCCTTATTTTGATGCAGTGATATGTGATATTGGCTATATGTGATGTTCCTACTGAATCAAAACCATTTGTACAATGATTGAGTCAAGCTTTTAAAATGTAGGAACCTTTTTTTCCGGCCCGCCTTATTTTTTTTTCGCACGCTCGCATTAGATTATCATTTGGAATCTGCGGAGGTGGTCATCCATAAAATTTACTTGCTGTGGCCTTACTCAGGCTACGGTAAAAAAAAGGCCAGTCATCCCTTCAATCATTATCATGCAAATGGTGTACGAATAACGTAGAATATTCAACCTTAAATTTGCATATAAGACGAAAATATAGTGTTTACAGTGAAGATTTGATCGCGTGTTTTGAGGCAATTCTGTCTTCACTCAAGCAGACGTATTTCGTTGTTACCACCTCACGATGCGTGCCGTGCATACTAATAAGATGGATAGGTCTGGGCAAAGGTATGATGCAAGAATAAAGCACTTAAACCAAACATGCCTGTCAACGACGGTTCGCAGTAAAACACTTCTATTGAGTGTACGTTAGAATGACGCAATTAGCTCCGTGAAACCGTCAACCTTTGCCCATTGTTAGACTCGTGTTTCTACTTCTATTTGAACCTGGTTAATAAAGCATTGTTTCGTCTCTTAGTAGTCCCTGACGTTAAAGTATTACGTGTCAAAATTATTGAAAGTCGCACTATACAACATCACCGTCTTGAACGATAAATTTATCAATGTAGATACAATTTACTATTTTTATTTATAGGCGTTGGGCGGTTGGCAATTTTTTCTGTCTAATGCATTCATTCGCGCATATTAACAATGCAGCTGGCTGGCGCGCCGGCCCACCCATTGTTACAAATGCCTTTGTCTCATGTGTTCCGGGCACATGTAGCCTCTACCAGGCACCGCGGATCGCTTCAAAAATATTAGAAATTGGCCGAAATAAAGGGATAGTATACCAGAGAAGATCCCGTGGGTCGCGAATGGGATCTTCTATGGCCTGGGATCTTCTCTGGTGTATTACTATCCCTTTATTTCGGCCAATTTATAATATTTTTCCAGCGATCCGCGGTGCCTGGTAGAGGCTAGACACATGGAGTCGGGAAAAATCATTTGTCACCCTAGCTTCACATCTGGGTTACGGCTGTTCCTGTCATTGGGTGAGGCTTCCCTGGAACACTATACCATTGCCCCAATTTCCCAGAATAACCGGACATCTCTATACCACATTATATAATGCAGCCCTAAACCCATCGACCTCTTCTTTATGCATTCGCCGCACGTGCATGGCTTAAGTAAAATAGATCTTACCTGTAACAATAGGAGACCCACCCCCTTCATGTACTTCCGCCATCTATCACATGTGTACAATCAATATAAGAAGTAATGAAGGTATTAGAATTGTAGTACGTACCAGTATTGGGAGGACGGACGTTGTTGAAGGCCGTTCAGCGCTGAATTGTGAAGAGTCAGGCTACACAGACGGCACTACACCGCCGTCAGGGACAGAAAAATTACCCGTCATCAGACTCCCTGAACCCGAAAAGCAGGTATCCACTGCACCGGCAGGCAAGACACCGGTGTGCACGTGACTATATGACGTTGCAACTGTACATGTCACGCCATACGCGCCACGCCAATCAATAATAGCGTCCCCTAGCGGGATGGACTCAATATGCAGCAGTTATATGTCCACCTGTGTGTGTCTATCTTACTCTCCAAGCAGAGGTTTGGGTTTTGGGTTAATTTTTGTTTGGCGTGTTTTTAGACTTTTTTTAACAGGGTTTCTTTTTTGCACTGGATTTTTTTCAAAACCCAAACCTCTGCTTGGAGAGTATGTCTATCTATGTATTGGTGATTGCGTCATGGGGGTGAAGTCTGCCATCTCTGATTGCTTTGTTTGCTAAATTAAAGTATAATTGGCCTACATTATCAAAATACACTTATAAAATGCCTCTGTATCATCCAAAAATTATGTTACACAAAGATCCGATTTCAAAACACATGGAAAAAATTTAATCATTGTACAAATATAGTGGAACATATGTACAATTTTGCATATGATGGAAAAAATTGTGTGTTTTTCCATCTTGTGGTATATCAACTAATTTTGTTTTCACTGGAGATCCTCATGCTCGTGATGATGAGCACAACTAACAAAATTTTATCTAAACATTTCACACATTTCTAAAATCACCTGCTCTGCCTCTACAACCAGTATGATTATGAAAAAGTACACAATCACAGTACTTAGTTAGTTCAATTCATACCTCACACACTTATACTGACTACAACTTACACAGTTCATCATTATGTAGCTTATAATAAACTGTCAACTTTGACTGTTGGATACAGAACTGTGCAAGTCTGATATTTATTCATAAAACAGTCAATGAGTCATATCCACTTCTGATGAAAGAGAACATGCATAAGTGCATACTAAGTAAAAGTGCAGGCTTATCTAACTCATTTTTGAATTTAACAAAATAACTGTAATGTCAGCAGGGTCCTAATTGTACATACTGTTTCAGGGAGTGAATATACTGCATTCAATTTTCCTTCCTACCCTGTTTTTACCTTATGTTGTCTTCTTGCTAAAATTTTACTTAAAAACCAAGGAAACAAGATGGTGTAGCCAATATTTAAACTGATGCAATGAAAAAGCATAATCCTCACAACGCCAAGTACATTTCATTCCAAGTTTATCTGTCAGAAGTCCATGGAATGATGAAACTTGTGCTGAATAAAAATATATATTACATTTAGAAACATGTCACACATGCTGAAATACATGTACCGTATTCCATGATTCTTATTTGTTATTATATGATATTTGAATCAATACATTATTTCTTCATTCAAACAATTCAATTTTTCAACCTACCTTCATCAGTTTAAGGCCTCTAGTCTTTGTATCTACAAAGGCACATTTACTGCTTTCATTCTGTTCAAAACATTGTTACCTACAAAACAACTGATCATGTTTTAACTATACTTTTGTACAATTTCAATGACCATGATTTTTACGTGAATAAATTTGTCACCTTTATAACAAGACCAGTTCTAAAACATGTGTTTTCACAGCAAATTTAAAATCTCCCTAGTCTAAATTGCCAAGCTTTGAAACAAAAATAAAAATAAAGCATTTTAGTCCTGAATAAAATCTTTCTTGCATACAAAAGCTACTGGATGTAAAACCCAGGCATAGATCAAGTCCCTTGTGCAGACTTTCTAGCGACCTGTGTTGGTTTCTATTCACCAGTTTCCCATCCCCAGAATGCAATGCGAAAATAGGGGGGTAACCCTCATGATCATTTGGATAGGCTAGGAAGGCATCGGAATGATCCTGTTGACGTTAAACAGCTTACTTTTCACTGTGTTTTGAGGTGTTGGGGCATTTTATGCACAACATTAACTCAAGTACTATGGGCCGAATCTGACATCAAATAGCAAGCTGTTTAACGTCAACAGGATCATTCCGATGCCTTCCTGTCCTATGCAAATGAGGGTTAGCCCCCTGTTTTTGCATTGCATTCTGGGGATGGGAAACTGGTGAATATACAGCTAGCCTGGAATCGAGCTTTGTTAGCTTTGGGCCACCCCAAAATCCGCTACCCTGGTCTTGGGAGTGGACCAAAGCTAACAAGGCTGGACTCTAGGCTAATATATAGCTCTCCCTTCCAAAAGAAACTGCAATGCTCTAGCCATCTGCTAGAAAGTCTGCACACGAGGCTAGGGTATATCTACATCTACATTTCTGTGTTATTGTCTTGTGCTTGCATTGTTCTCTCTGGACGTCCCATTGCTGAAGGGTTGTAGTGCCTGTTCTGCAGTTGTCCAGTTATGGAAGTGTTTAGAATACCAGGCAACTGGATGACAACAAAAATATAAAAATATTTCTGTACTGCAGTACAACAAAGTTTAAGACAGTCATTCAGTCATAGATCATACAAGCAAAAATTCTCACAATACACTAATATACAAACTGTTAAGTTTTCATTGTTCTGAGTAAAGTCTATGAGTGCATTTTTTTTGCACAATATCACTATTGATAATGGCAAGTACAAACAATTCAGCATATGAACTTCCTATCAGTACTACACTTTCTAGTACACACTCTACTTACTTGTCCTTTCCAGCCCATCTTCCCATGATACCTTGGGCTCCCAGCCCAGCTGCTTGAGTTTTGTGCTGTCAACACGGTACTGCTGGTCATGGAACGGTCTGGAAAATACAGCGTCCGTGATAGCCAATCAGCACCAAGAACAATAAAGTCCTTTGTGCACAACAGACCAATCAGCACCAAGGACAAGGAAATATCGTGGAATGTCACAGTGGATCACCAATCAGCACCAAGGATAGGGCTGTTTGATTGAGTTGATAGCCAATCAGAATAAAGGACAAGACATATTCATGAAGGCTTGAGGCTGATGTCTAGTCAGCACCAAGAATATATTCAGTTGACTCAGTGTCTGCCAGTTGGACAAACAAAAATGTCACATCCTCACCTGTCCGGTGTGTGTTCAATCCACTGCTGCACCTCCTCTTCTGTGGTCACATGTTTCAACTGTGAGGGGGGGAGCAACAAAAGTACATGATAACATCAAATATGTATATAAAGGAAGTTTATACCAACTGGCAGTACCTTCAGTCTGAATAATAATGATGATTGTACTGTACTCCACCCAGGTCTAAATAGTCTTGGGGATGTAAAAGGGAGTGGAAGGAGAGGAATGAGCTCTGCCCTAGACACAGTGAATCAACAACCCACTACATCTATGGCATGAAAAGGGCTAAAAAGATGTCTGCTGCCATGCTGAAAGGTGGATGGTAGATAACTATGAAGAGAGGAGACAAGAAAAGGCTCTGATTTAATGTTTTGTTTCTTACTTTGATGCAGTGATATGTGATGTTGGCTGTGTATATGTGATGTTCCCACTGAATCAGAACCATTTGTACAATGATTGAGTCAAAATTTTAGAATGTAGGAACCTTGTTTTTTCGGCCCTTCTTGCTTTTTTTTTCGCTCGCTCCCATTAGATTTGGAGTCTGCGGAGGATGTCACCAATAAAATTTACTTGCTGCGGCCTAATCAAGAAAAACTATATTACTGACTACAACAGAACATGGATTAAGGTTTTTGCATCACCTTTCTGATAAGAAGCCTGGCCAGCTCCAGGTTGGAGATTGCGAAGTCGGTGCCGATGTTGTAGATTTCTCCATCCTGCCCTTTCTCCAGAATCGTCAGAAATGCCTCTGCTGCATCCGTCACGTAAAGGTAGTTCCTTAATGGCTGGCTGTTTCCATAGACACAGCTGAATAAATGAATTATTATTAGTAACTTGTAAGGGTATATGAATAAATTTTTTCACAAAACAACATTTAGACCTATACTATATATACTGTATATATATATAGGATATTATCTTGTCAAAAATAAATATAATTTTCATGCTCATCCACTTATTCATTTAAACCTGTCTAATATGATATTTTATTGCAGAAGGATAATATTATAGAAATACATTATTCTGTACAAAACTAAAGGGGATGCAAAATAAAGGGGTCATAATAAATAATTCCTCACCATTTTCTGTCTCTTTGTAGCAAAGACACAAACTTTGGAATGACCTGAAAAATTAAGAATCTGTCACTCAGCTTAGTTTAGTGATTTTGTTGCGACAAGATTGATATTTGAGCACAAAGTGCATGTATCTAAAATGATACTCAACAACATCACATGAAGATTTTGAAACATTTTCTTTACCTTTTCTGGAAATTGATGTGGACCATACGTGTTGTTACCTCTTGTTATGATTACCGGGAACTGGAAGAGAATGAAAAAAAAATCTTAAATGAACAATCTTAAACACTTAGAAACTGAATTCATATTCACATACAAATTCCCTTAAACAAAACTAACAGAGGAAAACTACAATGTAACAGGACATATTCTGACCTTGAACCCTTCCCAGTAGGACATGACAATACACTCTGCAGCTGCCTTGGAGGCTGCATAAGGGTTTGTGGGGTTTCTGGGAGAGGATTCAAGAAGCACCTTCAAAAGAAATGAAAGATTGATTTGTTAAAATCAGGGGTGCCACACGCCCAGAAATTTTGTCTCCGATAGGGTATAAACAGGTGAAAATGCATAAACTTTGAGGCCTCAAATCCTGTATATATATACAAAAATGTAGAGTGAGAGAATATAAATGATATACCTTATTTTCATTTTAAAGAAAAAAAAAGGGGCTGATTGAATGACTGATCCCATGACTATACATGTGTAACAATAGATTACTGCCATTTATAAAACTTACACTTGTGCTTTTTCCTCCGTAGACCTCATCCGTGCTGACATGAACAAACCTCTTCACACCGCTCTCGTACGCCGTGTTGACCAGCACGTGGGTCCCGTACACGTTCACACGTGTGAACTCTAAAGAACTTGTGAACGACGTATCTATAAAAGTATAATCAAGGACATTACTAGTATGTATAATGTCCTTGGTATAATATAGCAGGGCATACATTCTGTAAAGTATACTGGATCTTGCATTACATATTAGCACAGCTGGCCAGCCACTAAGGTTAGAAAAACAGTATCAGTAAGTGCGATCTACTATAATAGTATAAAATAATCTTATTATATTCAATGACGCAACCATCAAAACACCTTGTAATTAATATGTAACATTATGAAGATAAAACTTACCAACATGAGACTGAGCAGCAAAATGCAACACTGTGTCAATTCTCTCATTCTGGAAGATATACCTGATAAAATCCTGGTCACAGATGTCTCCCTTTAGGACACATGATATGGAAAAAATAAAAAAAAATTCATATACATGTACAGATTATAACATGTGCAATCAAATACTAGTACAATGTATAGGGCTAGCATATATGGTACTTACAGCTGAACATAAATTCTGTAGATTAATTGTTGTTATGTTGTAAACACATATATTGGTGGCCAGCCCCTCCAATTCTGGCGTGCAACTTGCTACATAATATAATACACTTTAGGGTGTCAGCTACAGCACCAGTTACCATGGTACTACTTAATCAGTTTAATATGTTTATGGTTTGATTTAGCTTACCTGTATAAACTTGTAGTTTGGCCTGTTTTCAACACTCTCCAGGTTCTTGAGACTGGCACAATAATCCAACTGTCAAGGGGAAATGGAACACTTCAATGTCTATGCATAAAAATTTTAAACTCTTACTATATGCATGTTCATAAATGAAACATCAACACACTACTTAAACATTGCAAGTCTCATGAGTTATTTGAAATTCCCATTTAAATTATGACATTTTCAGGTCAAAATTAAACAGCTCTTACTGCCTTAGTTATTTATTACTATTAAAAGTGTCACTTTTTAAAGATTGCCTTAAGTTTAATCACAACATCCGAGGTACTACACATCTCTGGGGATTAACAAAAGGTAGCAGTCAAGACTCAAGTACAGTACCTTATCAAGATTGACAACAAAGTAGTCCTGATGTCTTTCCACCAGCATTGCAACAACGTGTGATGCTCTGGGGAAAATATAAATATGATAAATAAGGATGAACGTTAATAAATGTGAATTTCAAAAGGCAAAGTTTCTTTTTACTATTTACAATGTGTTCCTGCATAAGACTTTTCTTGGACTATTGACAGGATTGCGAATGTTATTTGTGAGTATCCAAGTACGAATTGTTATGGTTTTTATTTTTCAGTCATAACAGGGGTCTCATCAGTTGAGATTTCGCGCCTTCACTTCCGTAAACAAATTGATGTAACAAAAAATGTGGCTATTGACAGGATCGTCCTGTCAATAGCAGAAAATATTGCACTGCTGACAGGATCGTCCTGTCAATAGCAGAAAATATTGCACTGCTGACAGGATCGTCCTGTCAATAGCAGAAAATACTGCACTGCTGACAGGATCGTCCTGTCAATAGCAGAAAATATTGCACTGCTGACAGGATCGTCCTGTCAATAGCAGAAAATATTGCACTGCTGACAGGATTTTTCCTGTCAGCAGTGCAAATTATTCTACTATTGACAGGATCGATAAAATTTTGGTATTTTTATTTCGTACTGGAAATTTTGGGGTGGGCGCTGGTTCGTGTAGGTCTTATGTAGATGTTATTATGTATGCTATTAGGCCATTTTTTACGATCCTGCGCTGCGGCCCCTGCAGATCGTCGTGCATACATTGATCCGCCGCTCGGTAGCACGCGCCTGGCCTCCCGTAAGCAATGCGGCGACAGTAAGCGCTAGCCATTACAGCCGGCGCCACGGGAATGACACAGCGGTCCACCGGCGGGTACCCGTCGGGCTAGCCTGGGTGCCACCCCGCGCGCGAGTGTCTATCTCCTAAGTAAATGTCACGGGAAGCCATATTTGTCTATGTCTCTGTCACGTCGAAAAGTTGAAAAAAAAAGAAAATAGTTAAAAAACCTCCTGTCTCTCTTGTCTAGTTTTCACTCCTTTTTGATTTTGTTATACCCCAATTAAAAACGGGAAGCCATACTTCCGGCAGACCTACTTGGCACACTGGGTCTAAATTCTAAATATCTCCTCGCGCATGAGGCAATTTAGGTATCACCAAAACACCCCCCTCCCCACTTGTAGCATACGGCATTGAAAAATAACAACGGTATGAGGTATGAGACTTAAGTATGTGTACAAAGTAAAAATACAACTTCCTCACATAAAGCCGGCTCCTCCTGTGACCAGAATTCTCCGTCTGAACTTCACTTCCGAACAGGAACAACATTTTTGTTCAACACCCGGCGGCGTTTTTTCCACGGGCGCTGCCATCTTGGACTGCTAACACAATTTACGGCATGTCATAAACCATGAATCTATATCAATAATCTACATACAAACGCTTATCCAGTTTAATTACATTCACCAAAATTTTAATATATAGACAATTTAAACTGTTTTGAAGGATTTGAGGGATTTAAAAAGCTGTTTTTGCTACTCAAAATATACTTTACGACAGTACCGTAAAACGTACCCCGGAAGTGAGAAGTGACACGTACCAGCAAAAATGGCGTCTGCAACATACCGGTAAAAACTGTCAAAATCTTTATTTTTCACCGCAAAATCTTTGATATATCTGGCTACATGTAACAGATAAGCTCGGGATTTGGAGATCAGGTCTGCCTGAAAATGTTTTGGCTGCTTCTTGCCTTGAGAATTCTAGCCGGCGTCTCAGAATGCCAAGGCAAGACGGTGAGGGGAATCTTTAGTTCTGAAAGAGCTAAGGAAGAGAAGGGGCAACATCTTACAAGCTTCTGGTTCTACGGTAAGTGTGATATGTTGTTTTTCATTAACATGAATTGAGTGTGTGTTTAATCAAAATAATCTAGTATTTCTAAACATGCAAGACATTGAAATGTCGTCACCAAAAATTAATGTGGTGCAAATTATTATAAGCATGTGCAATAGTGGCACTAATCTCTCGAATCATTTAAAAAGACTTGACATAATATAGGGTCAATGCCCCACCCTGAGGTGTATATGGTGAGATAATCCTTGGTCAGGTGCGATAAGCTGTTCACTATGCTCACTCGGTGGTTTATTTGGTGGTTACCACACCTTACAATGCCTACAATAAGAGGAATTTTGTAACCAAGAGTAAAGTCACTGATATCACTGTAAATGTACTTCCATGCTAAAGTATTTCTTTCACTTGCAAAGCAAACTCTTTTTTCCTTTCCTAACGCAGAATTTATACCCTTTGAACAAAAAGGAATTTACAGTATTTCATTCCTTCTTTAAACATCTAAGCTGTAAAAGCTTTGTGACGATTTTTCTTGATGTTGCTTTTTCAATAGGAGAACCCACCCTTATCCAGTACAAGTTGAATGCCACCGTCACCTCAGATGGCAGACTGTACCTGTACAGGGAAGATGACTGGAGGGATGCAGCAGACAAACTCACCTGTTTTGACAAGATCTCAGCAGCCAGGCTGTCATGTATGTAGTGTGCTTAAGGCCACACAACACGTATTTATGGGCAAACCCCGTAGTCAAAAATAGTCCGGGCACAAAGTAGTGCTGCACAATACTAGAGAAAGGTACAGACTTTTTTGTTCTGTGCATGGCATCAAGATGGAACCTGTGGTGAATTTTAGAGGAATACGTCAGTTTTGAGACTGTAAAAGTGATGCTTGTACCGCCTAGTACTGTGCGTCGGCTGCAGTTCCATGACCTCCGCAGTGGCGCTAATAAAAGAGGGCATGAGAAGAGACCAAAAGTCTTAACTTTAAACAATTTGAATTTTTCTTTTCTTCCAGTTGAGCTTGTTTCAGCAGAGGCCAACTTCACATTTTCCAGTGTCAGTCCTGATCTGTGGCACGTTGTGTATGCAGAACTCAGTACATGTCAGACGGGGTCGTTTGTAGGACAACCCAACACCATCCAGTACCAACTCCGACTGTTCAACCCTGACAGGGAGGGCAATCCGTTCGACCACTTCAGTACAGGGGAAGGAGGTACACTATTCATTTCTGCAGCAAGTTTAAACTGTAATTTCCAACACAACAAATTGGACTTACCCAAATTTTTGACTGTACAACTACAGTCTTTGTCAAGGAATGAAGAATCCACTGCTTCCGTGACGTCACGCAGATAACACACGTGACTTCGTGAGCAGTGGATCATAGGTTGCAGAAAGTCTGTGGCGCCCCCCGTCTCTGTTGAGGGATGGTTGTAAGGCCATGTTGATTTGATTATATGGATGACATCCGCGCGCGCATGAATTTTCGGCCGTTTCCAAAAAAAAAAAGTTTTCAACCATACTGTAAATCGTACAAAACAGTTGCAAAATGAGCAAAAATATACCATAAGTTACCAAAAAATTAATAAAAACTATACCAATGTCGTAGAATGCCAAAATCAAACGAAAAAAGACGAAATTGTAAAGAAATGAACTTGAAGACTAGATTATTCGCCAAACCATATTCTGTGCCATTTGCTCAACCCTCATGACCACGTAGATTTCATAATGATTGAAATAAAACTTTTTATTTTTTGCAAAACTTTTTTTTATTCGCACGCGCGCATCAGTTTTGGGGCTCCCGGAGGATGTCATCCATATAATCAAATCAACATGGCCTAATGCCCATTCATTTCTATACACCATAGCATGTGTTGTCCAGTGTTTAGTGACCCTGCCTTTGGACCAAGAGGTTAGGAGTTTGAATCCCGAAAGAGTTGCAGTCCTTAGGACAGTATGTTAAGCCATGGTCATTGTACTTGTACAAGTTGTTGGTGAAAAGAGCTAGGGTAATTCCCATTTGTACATTTGTACAAGGAACTTGTAAATGCAAATCATACGTCTGATGTCTTCTCTGTTGTGACCAGTGGATAGCAGCTATGCTGGTTTGAGATTACTTTTTTATGCACAACAAAAGACAGTTATACATGTATGCCAAAATTACGATGGTTTGCTAGAACTTTATGATTGTTTATATAACATTTGTTCATGAAAATGTCTTTTCTATAGGTCTTCTCCTGTTCTACCAGTTTGTAGTGCTGGTGTATTTTATCCTCACCTGCATCTATGGACCTCAACTCTGGCAGACTATTAGTAAGGAAGGACCCATGTACTTGGTATGTATCCACATATACTGTACTGATTTCCATTTAATTTTTGATTCCAGGACAAAAATATTGTTCTGGGTGATGCTGGTTTAAGGGGAGTTTGTATGTATCTTGTCCTGAGCGGCGAGGTTTGGAAGTGAGTGGGCAGAGATTGGGTTTCAGTTGATTGACTGGGTTGTGACCCAACATATGCCAGTACATATACCAGTAGGATAGTAGGATGTGAATTTCCCAATCATACTAGTACAATACACCTCCAATACTTTCACAGACATTTCACAGAAGTCTGAAGTCTGATTTCTTGTTGCGCATGTTTTCTAGCAGATGCCGTAAAGAATTTACCTGGTGTTTCAGCTAGACCTACTTGTGATGACAAATAAGGCGATAACTGTACCTCTTGGTTTTATTTCTCTGCCAGGTTCTGAAGCTCCTGACGTTGGCCACTTCTCTGCAGTTCTCTGCCTCACTATTTAACATGTTGCACTATCAGAGGTACAGCAAGGATGGGGAGGGGTCGCCTTTCTTTCTCAACTTGTCTGAAAGTGAGTATCAACCCAAACTTTAATTCTCTCTCTCTATCTCTCTCTCTCTCTGTCTCTCTCTCTCTCTCTCTCTCTCTCTCTCTCTCTCTCTCTCTCTCTCTCTCTCTCTCTCTCTCTCTCTATATATATATATATATATATATATATATATATATTGAGTATTGGGCAAAAAACACAAGTTGCTTAATATATAACACCTTCTACTCAAAAACATACAATGAGTATAAAACACAGTGCTAACCTTACACAAGGACCGCCTGGCAAGTTTTTTGACAACTTTTAGGTGGTCCCTTGGATAATTTTTCCAATTGTCTGAAGCATTCAGAATCCTGTCTGTAGTGATCACCTCTCCACATATATTTCATTGGTCTCTGGAATGGTCTTCCTGGGCTGATTTGACTGTACATACATTCACATACTTTTTGGGTAGGCTTTATTCTCTGTACATACATTTGTATATAATTTACTCATGTGGCTGCTGTTCCACCCTTCAGTGCTAGAGGTCCTTTCTGCACTGGTGATGCTGTACATGCTGCTGAACGTGGCCATGGGATGGACACTGGCAGGGTCAAAAGCCACCAAACTGTCCAACCTGAAGAACAACCCCATTGTAACAATAGTTGTGCTGGGACTGGGTGCTGTTCAGGTGAGTTATATACTTAAGATTATTCATCACTCACTCACTCACTCACTCACTCACTCACTCACTCACTCACTCACTCACTCACTCACTCACTCACTCACTCACTCACTCACTCACTCACTCACTCACTCACTCACTCACTCACTCACTCACTCACTCACTCACTCACTCACTCACTCACTCACTCACTCACTCACTTAATTGTTGCCCTGAAGAAGGTGACAGATGGTCACTGAGACATTGGACATCAAAACCTGTAGTTCTTGATTAAAGAACCTTCTTATACACTTTTTCAGGCTGTCCTGGCACTGTGGGAACAGTTCCAGTCCTCAGAACACCAGACGTACCACGCACACAGAAGTGCTGTCGGTCTGTCCTTAGTGGTGCTGAGACTGGTGCTAGCTCTCGTGTTTGGAGGAGCCATCTACCAAACCATGTCCAAGGAGAGGAGCAGCCTCAGGAGAGATTTCTACCTCAGTTTTTTCAAGGTCAGTGTGATTGGGAGTGTTGTGTGACGTGTAGTTGATTTGATTTGATTGACTTGATTTATTGAAATTGTAACAGTGCAATACACGCGGAACAGAGGCAGCTGTTGCTGGTGTTGTGTCCCGCACATAGAAACAAATACTGGACAGACAATACTCATTTTCACTTGAGTCTAGTGGGGAAAGATGTGTAAAGTGCCTTTCCCAAGGGCACAAGATCACTGGCATTTCAGGACTTGAACCCGGGACCTCTTGATTCCGAGTCGTGTACGCTGCCATTGCGCCACACGACCCCAAGTTTAAGTCTTGTTTCCCTCAATGGCTTGTACATATATATACATGTAGGGTACATTTATGATGACACCCTGTCATTGTACCTTTGTGTTCACGGATAGCAATAATGTCACAATTCAAAATCAAATACAGACATTGGTCCGGTGACCTTGAAGAAGTAATAATAATGTCACAGATTATGTAACTAACAAAATTAAAAATGATTCCAAAGGAAGTATTTCTCATCATTCTCACTTAGTATCCTTTGTGTGGTGTCTACACTATGAAGGTATGACACTTGACAAATTCATTTTCCTCTTCTATGTTTTCAGAGCTGTCTGCTGTGGTTCCTAAGCTACCCAGTGATCGTGGTTATAGCATATTTGTTTCCTGGTCATCTCAGGAACAAGGTAGGTCAAGGCTCTCAGTTATACACTTATGCACTCTCTTCTTAGCTACTCTTGGCTTTTAGATACTTTGCAACTTAATAACAGCATCAAAGTGTAATGTGCAGTTTCTACTCTTTCCAGCTGCTTCTGAAGCATGGTAGAGGCTACACAAATGATGCCATGTGAAAGGCATGTATGAGGGCCTGCAAGGGGGGGTAGTGATTACGAATTACGCAAAATTTTCGCCGCCTATTACGAATTACGTTAAAGTCTCAGGGCTGATTACGACTTCATGATTTGCGGCTGATGTCCAATTACGAATTACGTCAATTTTTGCGGAGGCTGCCTACGAATTACGAAGTCTAAAACGGCCTGATTACGCCTTACGAAAAAGGGCTTGCAGGCCCTCATGTATAGTACATTTGTGTACTACAGTGTAGTCCACTGTGAAGTGATGTTGTTGCAAGCAAGTTCTTGTTTCTTTACTTTCCAGATTGTAACAAGCGGAGTAGTTATATGTGAGTCTTTAGCGGTGGTCCTACTCTATAAACTGTTCCTGTCCCGTAGCCTGTACTGGGAAGTCTCCGCCCTGTCAGCACTCTCTCTGCCTCTCCGGATGGACAGGAGCTTTAACAAGAAGAACTACTCCTAAAATATCTGAATCCTTCAAACTTTATTGTTCAAAAGTAAAATGTACATAGGTTGTAGGGGGAGCACCGCGTGCTTGTCCCTGAATAGAGTACAAATTGTCACATTATTTCCTAAACGTACAGTGGACCATAAAGAAAGCTTACTAATTATTATTATAACTAACATACAAAATGTAAAACAAAACATATAGTCCTGATGAGCTTTCCTGTAAAACAAACGTTAAGTACACAAAGAAAGGAAAAGTACTAAATGTCACTATTTTTGTACACTGAACGACATAAGCTGTTAATCTACAATGATATTCTATTGACATTGAAAACAGAGCTTGTATTTTTGCTCATATCAAGGGAGCCATTAGATGGAAACTGTCCATGTTGTTCTGTCTCAAAATACTGGCTATTGTACTATAGTATTGAAGTATCATTAGCTGTTGATAACCTGGGTGCCATCTGTTTTGCAAAGGGGCTCCTTGCACTCACTACCCAAAAAAAGGAATGGTTCCCAGTCTTGATACATGTAGCCTGGTAATCAGTCTGTTCAATGGTCAATGGTAAGATCACATTTCACACTATACAGAAGCAAAGCAGAGTTTAACAAACTTAAGAAGAAGGCCACATATTATTGTTCTATTTTTCTTAACTTTGAATTACTTTATTTGCAAAATTCTCATGAAAGTTACACTTAGCTTCAGTATTTTTTGTGGAAACTTCATATGTTGTATTGGAAATGTTATGTGCATGTAGTAATCTAAACAGTAACCCTTATTTGTATGATAGATGTAGATTGTATGAACTATAGAAGCAAAGAGATACTCAATTTCTCATGATTTGTACCTATTGAAAAATGAAGAGCCGGTACAGTTTTGTTTGTTATGTTCTTGCATATTTTTGTATCAATTGTCATTTTCTTGCATTGTGTCCTATAATAATAGTCCTATTTTCAGGAAATAAAGGATTTCCAAAACTGCACTGGGTGATAGAAGTTATTCATCTGTCGTGTTTATGATAGCTTTAAGCTTGGGGTGCTCTGTGCATTGTAACCTACTTCATTTGATTTTGTTGCTGATAAAAATGTTGTTTTAGTTTTTTGTTTATTTTATAAAATATTCAAATCGTCCTGCAGGCTGCTTTCATTGAGGTCACGAGGGAAGAGGCCAGGGTCAAACAAAATGTGATGAGACATGGTTACATAATTGGGGTTCTACCACATCCATAAACATCTAGTTGTACAGAGTATGTCCTTGCCAAGTTTGTCTTTACAATAAACCAGAACTAGAAAAGTACAACGCGGCCTTGTCGATTCTCCTTGGCCATTTGGAACTTTTTAACCAAAACATTTGCTTTGCACAAACCAATGGAAAAATTAACATACTGTACCAACATCAACATAACACTTGACTGGTGGTACCTTTTGGAGGAAGATGCATTTCATTTTGATAAGTTCTTCCATTTCTAGAATGTGGTTTTCGAATGTTTGTATGTGAGATGTTGCATGAAGGTTGGTCCTGACTCAGTGTCTGTCCATAGTAACAAAAACAATGGTAATGGTAAATGAAGAGACATGTGTAACATTGTTACATGTAATATTGTTATTATGTACTTGTATCACTAATGCACAAACATAAAATACAGTCAGCACAGTTGTTAATTACACTGATTCTTGAGTTAGTTACAGTGATGTGGTGAGGTTTGTGTTTTACATGTAGTTATAACTGGGCTTGGAATAACTAGGACTACAATGTACATGTATGCAAAGTCCTACTAAGTGCAAGGCCTGTGACAGCAACTGCACTCCACACATACGGGGTTCACAATATGCGCGGCAGCAAATGCAAATTAAATCATGTCCTTGGAGTAGTACATCGGGTTCACCTAATGCTTGTCAGGAATTAAACACAGGGAAAAATTGCAAGCACACCCAAATCATTTCTGCTACCTTTAAATACAGAATGATAGCTATTCCTACAAAACGAAGTTCTAGTAATCAGTCGAAGTTTAAACACATGATTTGCCCTCCACGTTGAGCCTGTTTTACCACATGCTGCCGTCAGTAGCTGGGTGCCTAGGGTGTGCCGTATCAAACCGACTCGTAGCCGGTTTGACATCCACCCTAGCCGGTTTGATATCCACCGCTTGAACCTGTAAACGCACAGGAGATCATGTGTAATAAGTACAAGTCTTTGTTTATCTCGCAAATCAACATCACAGTATGTGCAAAACTTCCAGTATGTCCAACATCTACTGGGAGACGACTGCAACCAACTGTAGCAAAGCAAAGCAGATAGCCAACCTATAGCGACATGGGGATGTGGATCGGAATGCTCTTGCAATCGCCTTTTTTAACGAAGTAGTTCAATGCAAGGCCTATGCGACAACATCTCGGCATTGAACTAGAAAGATGAGAGAGACATGGCTATGTCAAGAGATGGCGGTGAACGTTTGATTTGAAGGCCTGTAGATTGTAGGTTGGTGGGAAACACTTGTCAGGGAGGGAATTCCAAAGCTTGGCCGTACGGGGAAAGAAACTGTCACTGTAAAAAGATTTCGAACAAGGAATTTGGACTGTGAAGTTGTGTGAGCTAGTGGAGAACCTAGTGGAACGCTTAAAAGTTCTGAGTGGTGGAACTAGTTGGGTCATCATCATAGCTTATCGCCAATCCACTCCAGCCAGTTCCGCGCTGCTTCATTGGCCTCCTGGAGATCTGTGTCTGTGCAGGTAGGACCAAGCCTGCAGCCGTGCATTAGGTGCTGGATGGTCTGAGGGTCTAGTTGGGTGAGTTCTGCAGAGCAATGACCATGATGCAGTTGCAGCTGCGTTGCAGCCGACGGATGATGATAAACTGTTCATGTTAACAGAAAAACGCTTACTTTGTCCTTCCTGTACTTTTTCCGGCAGCAGGACGTGAACCGCTTGATCAGATACTCCACGAACTCAAACAGGGTGATGACACTGGCTCCGATAAACAAACCCAGCTGGCCTCCAATGTTACCTATTGAATAGAGAGCAATGAAACCCGTGAGACTTTAATACATACTGAAGTTGCAAAGGAATAGCTTGGGCGGTCGGTTTTATATCTTCAGCGGCCTTGAAATTTGGGATTTAAAGAGATTCAAATGGATGCGATGCTACGCTATACCTGAATTTGAATGACCGTTAAGTTTTGTGGCGAAAAAAACAGTCTTGTGAACTTCAGACGATTTAATCGAATTAACTAAACCGGCAGGGGGACGATATCGACTTTCACAACAAACTTTGACCCTTTGCTGACGTCACACGTGTATTACGTCACGAGTCCTGAGCGATTGCCTGGTCAGATATGAGTGAGTCAGTCAAAAGTTCCAGTGACTTAATTTTCTTGTGTTGGAGAACAGTTTAACTTTTGGTGTTTGGCGACTTTAACCGTTACCGTTGGAATGCTGTGCATGCCGCCAAAAGTGCTCTAATACTAGGTTTCATAGTTGAAACCGTGAGAAAGAAGGCCACGTACTGAGGAGGTCCCCTTCCGTCATCTCTCGCTGCTGCTCGATGACCTGGTAGTTCAGCTCGCTGTAGTAGATGTCCAGAACTATCCAGTTCTGTCTGGAAAAAGGTGATGCACAGGATTAATCAACCATAGCATGGGTGCCATTTGATTTGCTTCGTGTTTCGTACACTGGTGTCCTTATAACTGTGTGTTACGACGAAGGGCGGTTATACCGGCTATACATGATACAGATATACACTCGCAAGCCCGATTTTACCCAGCTTAGATTAATCACACTGGTGAAAGGTAATGAATTCAATATTTGATATTAATATTCTGTATTACACTGATAGTGGGATGTCTCCAATAACTCCCTGATGCGAGAACCGCACCCAAACCGGGGCCCGAACGGGCAGTTTACGGGAACGAAAAACAAAGAAACATACATACAAATCATGTTCTTAACTATTTGTATTAAGTTGTGTGTGTTTTATTGACTTTTGCATCGATGCTTTTGATTTCCGCAAATTGCCCAACCGGGCCCCGGCCGGTTGGGGAACGTGGCAATGCTGAGGTCACATTTCCAAACCGTGGCCCGAGCGGGCAATCTTATGGAACGAAATGTATGATGTAAAAGACAACAAAGCACAAAAAAAGTAATAATGGGAACTCTTTGCGTATGTTATTGATATAAATTGTTGATTTTTCGTTAACCGAGACAGTCCGGCTGGGCCCCGGTTTGGAAATGTGGCCTCAGCATAAAACTTACCTCATGTAGTCGGTGGCGCTCTGCTCGTCCCACACGTCCCACAGGTTGAGTTCGGTGAGCCAGTGGGCGGCGGTGAGCTTGTTGGGCCAGCCGGCGTACGACACGCTGGTCTGGAAGTGGGCGATGTCACACGGCGTGGGGCAGTCACAGGTGAAATTACCTGCTGTCACGGCCTCTGTGGACGGAGTTTAAGCTCCCATTAAGCCGATCGGACAGACACAAAAACTCCTTCATTGTGAGAGCCGTAAAAGACTTGTGATGTGTATTAGACATGTATATATATATATATTGTATTTTAAACTGAAATTGTACTATTTTAACCTACGTGTTCTTGATGTTGATTTTTAAATGATGATGATGTTTTTTAATCTATTGTGATGATGTTTGTATGATGTATAATTGTAAAATGTCCATGCAATTCAGACGTGCCCGAAGTACTTCGGCACGTCTGCTATGTTGATATTTAATAAAGATTTGATTTGAGTACTTAGTATCATGACAGAGTTAAAGGCAGATCAAGGCACCAAGAGCAGTTTTTAGGGCTTGGAAACCAGAGTCAATATGCTAGTCACTTATCTAGTACATACTGAGTTGAAACTACTCTGTACATTGACCCTCACGGACCAAAAATACTCAAAATTCTGTCGGAAACGGTTACTGGAAGGGCACTTGGCTGATTTTTAGGGTACCTCCCATAATATAACGGACTCATCTGTTACTCCAGTTTTAAGTACCCAAAGTATGGAAAATCGATTGAAATGTGCTAATGTGAAGCAGTAAGTGTCAATATCACTGTTCAGTTCAATTAAGTTCGACAAAAAATGTAAAACATTATCAAAGGAAGACACTTTTAAATATATCATATCATGTACGAATATAGACGTCATCAATGAAGTATGTAAGTATATTTCAAAATGTTTCAAAAAGAGAGAAGAAGCCATTAGACCTTAGATCTGTATCACTTTATATATGTATATTTCTTTTTTAGCATTGTATACCTTAGACCCGATGTTAGCCTTTCTATATCACTATTGTTGTAGTACTCTCTAGTACATTGTACTCTGTACATCTGTGCATTTATCTCCCCAGGGAATGAACATGCAATAAAGTTTCACTAATATCATAAAGATCGCCTTCTGCAGAATATTTCCAGTTTTGCTGCCCTGAAATCGCATTGAATGCCTTTAACACATCTCCGAGTCTGACGGCCTAAGCAACATCATCATCGACATAAACTCTTTGGAATCCAGATCTTGTTGTTCACATTTAGGCCTAATAGTGGCTGATGGCCACTCTTCTGGCCTTGTCACCTGTGTATCTTTCCATAATTACGATGACATATCTAATGATTTTATTTATATAATTAAAATGTATTTGTTATAAGAAGTTTATCTCAAGAAGTGAAGACTTACTTAATGTATCCAGTGCGCAGTCCGCAATCGCTCTCGGATCACAGTAGTCATTGCCTCCTGTAAACAAAAGAATTAGAAAACAAAACTTTTTGTCGTGCTAGTTATGAATACATTCTCTCTTAGGCCACATCGACTTAATTTTATGGATGACATCCGCGCGCGCATTATATTAATTTTCGCCTGTCGTCTTAAAAAAGATCACGTCCTCCGAGGCTCTGGCCTGGCTCTAGGCCTGGGTAGTCCATGGTAGTTAGCGACAATACGGAGCCGGTCACCCAGGCTACCGAAGCTCTACGACTCAATAGCTCATCAGTACATACGTACAGTGCAGATTCATAAATTCCGCAAAAAGCCGACATGTGCCGGCTTGTCGTATACGTCGTTAAGTACAGTTGCGAATTCACAATACCAGCTTTGCATTCCTGTGGTTTAGTAGCAGTTTTATTTTGCCGGATTTTTTTATTCGCCCGCGCGTACTAGCTTGTGGGTCTTCAGAGGATGTCATCCATAAAATTACGACGGTGTGGCCTTATGCAAAAATGAAAACGCTTAAACCAACCGGGATGGTGCCCAAACTAGCTTTTTCTTACCTGGCAGATAGAAGAGTCGACAGCCGCACTGCGCGTACACGTGTTTGGTCCTGCACTCCAACAGACAGCCGGTAAGGGTGTAGTTCTCGTAGTACTCAAGCTTCAGGTCCTGACACTCCCCCCATGGCGGGATCTCATTAATGTACTGTAACAATGGGAAGTAATCATTCAGCATGCTAAGGCCTCGCCAATTTAATTTGTTGGTTCTCGGATTTTTCCAGAAAAAAATATGAAGCGACAGGTCGAAACAAAACAGGGTTAGGCACCCTATTATAGCTCCAAGTGCAACGATAGGGGCCATGAAGTCAATGCAAAAGTTTGGACAACAAGAAAGAAAATGGCTTTCCTGTTGGGCCAAAATATGGGCATTTTGAGTTTATTCATAATTTTTTGGGGCAAATCAGAAAAAAAATGAAGAGGCGAATCCGAGAACCAACAAATTAAATTCGTGTGGCCTAAGCCGTTTGGCATGAAATTTGCATTGGTTATGGGGTTTGTACTGGTTTTGGGGTTAGGCACCTGAAGCGAGAGAGAATGTTTTGACACATTGCGCGGTTACGAAAGGCGGCAATGCATGCCTCTTCTATGATTATAGATGCATGATCAGAGTCCTGCCATACAAGTCATAAAGGCATAATTTCGATCTTTGTTACATTGTCAGGTTATAGACTAAGCATAAAACTGTATGTGCTATGGGAGAATACAATGAAGATCAATGTCTTTATGACTTAGTATGGCAGGACTAGTACTTCGATGTTACAAAGAGCACACCATGATTGCCAACTTTCTTTACACGTCACCATGTAAATGTGTTAGTACATGTATTAGGTAAGAAGTTGTATCAAATGATAAGGATAGAACAGAAAACCGATCTACTGTGTGAACTTTGCATCGTCGATAGCTAAATCTCCCAACTTCTCTAGTTGGCTACCTCTTACACGTGGAAGCCTACATGGCAGAGAACTGAGAAGGACAACTTCACGTGGTTTAGCTGCAGGACGTCTAGAATAGTGTTTACCTTTTATTGTCGAGCTGCTGAACCATTCTTGATAAATTTTAATGTGTATCATGCCCCAATTCAGCCATGTATGTGTGTTGTAAATAATAAATAAACCAGTTCATTCATTCATTCATTTATCTACACACAGGTAGGTGAATCCTATTTTTAACATGATACCTCGACTTTTGACATCGCGATGTAGGCATGACTGCCCGGCCCCACGGCGATGCCCTGGGTGTCCATCTTGGGCGGCTCCTTCTGGTCATGGATGAGAACCTTCAGCCCCACATCGTCACTGCCGCCCTGTGCAGGGTCCTCCGTGTAGAATTCCTGAAATAAAGATGCATCAGAAATCAAGCCATTCTCTGTTTTTTTTTTAAAGAAAAATTTAGCATGAAGGAGCAGATCGCAAGCATGGCGAGGGTTCAATGAGAGTAAACTAACACAATTTGTAATGCTAGACTGCATTATGTTATTGTTTTTACATCTTTACTGGAAAAAGACCATTTTGAGAAATGGTGTGTATAAGAAGCCACTTAGGTTTCAATCTGAAAATTGATATGAGGGAGCTGACTGGTTACATGAAGGAGAAGCGCCCTTATTCCCCTGTTTAGAAAAGTACCACAAAGTACCGCTGTTTACCACAGCTTCAGCGTGGTGGTACATCAATATTAGAAAAACAAGAAATCGGAGATTTAGACATTTAGGGTTTTCGTGACATTCAAGTTCAAAGAACATGGGGATGTGTTTTTGGGTTCTCGTTACCTTCAAGTTTACAGACCTACGGGAAGTGTTTTGAGAACTGTGGGACGATTGTAATCTTGCTGTATTACACCACTTCCTGGAGGCACCTTCAGGTGACCTCCCTTTCAATCAACTGTCAAAATCCCCTCCCATGAAACCGAACGCAATTAGGAAAAGACAGACCAGCTCATGAACTCAGATACCAACCAAAAAAATAAAATCCGGAAGATCCTAGCTTACGCTCTGGATGTTGAAGTAGAGCTTCAGCCCATTGCCTGCTCCTGGTAGCTTCTGTCTCCGCGGGTTGTCAGGGTCCACCACGGCGTTGAAGGTGTAGCAGTTCCCGTAGGTTGTGAAGACGTGCTCGAAGTCCTGTGGTTTAAACATGTCATTTCATCAGCAATTCAACGGTGATTGCACTGTTGTGTGTGGCTGCACGGAGATGGGCGCCGCCCTATGCGTCACATAGTTACACACAAGTAGATCTTGAGTGACGCATCTGCAACCTTAATAACTGACAATTTTGTTTCTTTTTCCAAATTGGACTGGCTGTATACGTTTGTTGAATTCGTCATTTGTTGAATTTGTCTAGCCTGGAGTCCGGCCTTGTTAGCTTTGGCCCTCTACCCCACGATCCACTACCCCAGCGGACCAAAGCTATCGTTTGCCCGCATCAGCCACTACTAAAACCGGGTAATGTCTGACTCTGAGATACAACAGTATCGAATTTCGCTTACCACTACATCACAGTCTTCTCCCTTGAACTGGCAAACGTAGAAGTTCCAGTTCTTCACCAGCTGCCAGCCGGCCTCCAACGTGGTGTTCACGGGATCCAAATTGTCCCTGGGAGACAAAATCGAAATCAACTCCAAAATGCTCATATGTTGGCGGCAGTTGGCCCCATCAGTTGACGAAAATCCCTTCTCTTCAAAGTTGTTACAGTTTTCAGATCTATCAATACAGTGGTCGACTAATTGAAATTCAATGTTTAAACCAGCCCGGTACAATGTATGTTGACTTCATGGCTCATTTCATAGCATTTAGGACTATCATAGAATGCCCTAAGGCCTGTTCTTTTTCCGTGTCACCGTGTTTACCTGACCGGGTTGACCAGCACGTCGTTGACAGGATCGTAGTACACCCCGACAGGCTCCGGCAGTTCGAACCCGTACAGCAGAGCAGACAGGTACGCCTGGGTGTCCGCCTCCAGCCGGTTCTCCTCAAACCTGGGACGAGAAAAATATATATGTTCAGAGACTCACTCACTCACTCACTCACTCACTCACTCACTCACTCACTCACTCACTCACTCACTCACTCACTCACTCACTCACTCACTCACTCACTCACTCTCTCACTCACTCACTCACTCACTCACTCACTCACTCACTCACTCACTCACTCTCTCACTAACTCACTTGCTCGCTTCTCCCTCGATACACATATTGCAGCTGCTTTCTCTGCTTAGCACTCAGAATTTGGAAAAGAGTATGGAAGTTCACACCACTACCAATGGACTAGCCCCCCCTAGCCTGCTGTAGCGATTGCACAACTGTGTGGCTATTGAACCGGAGATAGAAGCCGCCCTATACGCACCATGCATTTGGTGCGAGAAACCAGGACTTGACTTTTTATATACATTAATAACCGTGCAAAGGTAATCAACCAAGTTCGAAGAGATAGATATAGAATGGTCGCTCTTGAAGTACACTTTGCGGACAAGGTGGGCGTCTTTTATCTCAAAACAGATTCTTTTGGGCAAGGGGAGTTTATATTGGCCTCTTGTAACCATTGACCGCCTTACGGTGGCGTATTTGATACTGACTGTCTTGCAGCCACCCAAAGATGTTCTTGGAGGTGGATGTCGCTAATCACAGCACTCTGGAGTACGTGGCATACGGGATTAAGCAAGGCCCTTGTCTAATCACGGCCCATGATTAACAAACTCTTGATAGTCTGAATAGGGTGGGAGATTTAGGCCTCTACGCTTCAGTGATTATTCAGACGGCCCTGTTTTGTTCAGACGTACCTGTTGAAGTTACAGATCGTCACAGCTGGGAAGATCAGCTCGTCCTCAAACTCCAGTTTGATGTTCGTCACCGTGTTGAACTGGAAGTAGCGAATGACACTGGAAAGAGACAACGGAATAGTGCTGGGTAACCGTTTACTTTGACGAAGCCAAATAGAACCAATATTGTAAAGGCCACAAAGAAGTTGCCTATTCCAACAGGAGCGTCAAACTTTTCTCTTAGCGTGGACCGACTTCCCTGGAAAATCAGCTGTCTATTTGACCAATTTCTACTCTTTCCAGCTGCTTCCCGAAGCCTATTAAAGAAGTATGATGTTTTGTTTTATTCAACAACTAAACATGGTCCAGATATACAGAACGTAAAACACTAAAAACCAAGGACTCAGTCTTCAGAAACAAAGACAAATCTTCTCCTGAGAAAAAGTAATAATAAGAAAGCATGATGTTTACTCAGCACGAGAACAGACATTTAAAAGCAAACTTTCCGCAATATGTAAAGAAGTATTAAAGTTGAGAAAATATGTCAGTAGACTTTACGACTTCGTAAAGGCAGCTGAAAGGCAAATCCCGCCTTTCCGCCACCTTCCAGTGTGCTTAAATACGACGTAAACATATTTCATATCTTTTCGCTTCCATTACAAATCCGTAAATAAGTACTTACGTCTCTGTGATCTGCCAAGCCGCCACGCCAAAGCAGGCCAGAAAGACGGCGAGCCAGATCAGTTTCAGGCCGCATTTCTCACTCCCCGACACCTTCCCGATCCCATGGAGCGTCGTGTTGTCCGCAAACTCCTTTTCAGGCGATATGTCCTCGTCATCAGCCATGTTAGAAAGCTGTAGAAAACTTGTAATGATCGCTCGAAAGCTGCCCTTGAATGTTGTCCGTAGATCAGAGCAATGTACGCTGAGGTCTAGCGGCTCAGTGTAGCGACGTACTGGGCACGCACTAGCTATGTATCTATATCTGTGTAGGTAAAGACTTGGCAACGCGCGCAGTCAACAAAAGTGGCTGCGAAGAAAATATTTTCTGTACGGAACGGTGAACTTAAAAAAAAGTTGCAGTTCCGTACATTGACGCATTTGTGGATGTGGGGGCTTCTTGTTTGTAGGAAGTATTTGTAACTAGAATGCGTGTCAAGAATGGGCCGAAATCGGCACGTTTTTCGTCACACTAGACCAGACTATAACAGCATTGCAACACTACATGGACGTCTGTGGTCATATGAGACCGTTTCACCGTACAGTTTCTTTTGCTGCAAGCCAAGGAAAGAGAATTATGCCCACCACTGCAAAACGTCAACATTATACTTAACTTACACCCTTTAGAAAAGAGGGGATGGCTGTCTCTGCCCTAGATACGCGTTTTTGAACTGTTTACAAGAGATTTGCCACATCGAAAGTCAATCTGGCGAATAAAGTTTTTCGACGAAATATTGGACAATAGTTGCAACACAGGGTGTTCATATCATCTCTTCCATAGCTGCTCGCCTATGTATATGTAGTCTATGAGGTATGCATCTCCAGTAATCAGGCCTTTGCTCTATCGGACTATCCTTTGTCGATTGGTTTTGCTAATTTGCGCTGTAACTAGTGCGTTTCGTCATGCTGGCAGGCTGCAGTGTTAATGTTCTGTGGTGAAATGCAAGAAGGCTCCGGAAAGAAGCTGTTAACAGGTCGCCTGTTATCGTTAATTGTTGGTCACATTAAGTCGAATTAAAGTGTTAACGTAACTGGTTAAGTCAAAGTACATGTATCTGATACATTCTATTCTTATTAAAATACCCGCGTGCTTTTACATTAATTTTCAGCTACCAATGATGGTCACCTTTTGTACATCAACTCCATATAAAATGTTGTTGAAACTAGTCATCTTGCCATAGGTAGATTCCAGACTATTGACATAATTTGTAAAAGATACTGAAATCTATGCGACCGTCTAAACATTATCATTAGAGCGACATCTGCCTCTGAGATGATTTTATATAGCCATTTATAAATATAGTATAAAAAGCCAGGCGTACTTGAGAGGATAATTATCCATTAAGCCTCATGTCCGACATGTTTGTTCTGCGTTCAAGGACATTGCCACTGAGAGAGAGAGCACTTGTCGCCACACCAGATTATACCACTGTACTTGAACAAATACTGTTCCACGGCATTTCATGTTTTGAACTATTTGCAGTCACTGTCAAAAAGTCGGGAAATTATCTACTCAATCAAGACATCTGAACGTGTTTTGGTGCGTACCAACAGTGAAAGACACACGCATAGCGCCAAACAATACTGTTGTGAAAGTCACGGGTATTGGTTGCGTTCGACCAATGGTATACAATGTTCTAAGTCCGTTACAATCGCAGTCTTCTGAGGTATCTTGCTTTGTAAGGCTGCAGACGGTTCGTGGATAGCACTGAAAGGGCAGAATGTTTTCAAATGGTCTACTAAGATCTTTCGACTGCATGGCAGCACGCCAATTATAATGCACGAGTTGTAATCAATTCGGAATCTAATGTATCAGCAAGCTAGGAAAGTCCGATCTGGGCCAAGCTGCTGGTAAAGTAGGTCACTAAAAGGTTATACAGCCGCATATAGTAACGAAACTTATGTTTGTGTCAACTTAATTGTTTTATTTTTCTAAAAATATACGATCTTTGATAGCCACAACGTCATCAATTCGTACCAACTTTTTAGACTCGACAATCCCTTCAAGACTATCTGAGGGCAATCTGCTTTCAGTAATGCAGACAGTGGACAGTGATTTTTATCCATTTCTACCAATTACAAATTGATACATTGAATGACATACTAGTACATAGGTATCAATATGTTTTTTCATGTCTTTGTATGTTAGATAAAATTAATTAATTAATATTTGATAAAAATCTCACTAATGACTGTCCCCTCCCTAGCACATGGTCTAGTCCTGTGTCCCTGACCCATAACCCCCCGCGCGGGATATTTGAACTGATTTGCATATTTAGCGCCAGCTGAAAGAAGTGACGCTGTGGACGGAACTCGGGAAGAAAACGGAACTCGGGAAGAAAACCCTTCGTACTGAGATTTACAAGAAAGGTAAAACCTCCCGAAATGGTTCATATTGTGCATTTGATGTTCTCGAATTACTTCAGCTATCAGGAGATGTATATTTGCCTTTTTTCGCATGAGAAAACGACTAGAATACGAAGGGGGAGGGGGACTTGCAGTGCTAGTTGCATAACGCAGCATGCTGTGTTATATAACCAGTATGATACTGGTTTTGCATGCATTCCTGTATGTATTTAATAGTGTGATGAATTGCGGGAACGATCTAAGTGTAAAGGAAATGATGATTTAGACGAAAAGGGCTGTGTTTTTTGGAGGCGCGTGTGTACTGTTGCATAACAATGTGTTGTGTAACAACAGCCAGATATAAACGTGGTTTGTAAATATAGGCCCAGCCTCATAGTATTCAACGATCTGATCTGAATATGTATTTATTGATAATAATAACGAATGGTTTATTTACTTTGATACACATACATAAATGCAGCCAAAACGCCTGAATTACGTTAAGGCATTTACAATTTGAATATTGACATTATAAATATAATTTATTGAAACATTTCATTTCAAAATATTTCACGTGGCCATTTTGATACTTCCTTCCGTCTCATTATTGACTTTAAGTAATAAAGCTAATTTAAAATGTCTTCTATTTCCCCCTCCCCCTTTTTAGGAGCCATACGCAGTGAATCCAAGCAAAGGGTTCTTGGAACTTGAATGTCCTTACGACTCTTCATTTCTAGTGTACCAATAAACTCCTTATTTTTGGCTAGAACCAAATTTGTTCACAGAGCTTCAATCTTAAACTTCCTTTGCGCAAAGAAGAGTCCTTTTGTTCTTGGCAAACAATACATTGCTGTATCATCAAGAAATATGTCTTCTGGAGACAAGAGGAAAAGCTCGGGTTCTGGAGAAAGTCCTTCCAAAAAAGCGAAAGTAGAAAACGGTGCTAGCTCCTCCTCCCAAGATGGAGCAGGGAGTGAAGACTTCCTGCAGCAGATAGCTGACAGGAGGACGGGTGTGTGTGAGTCGGTCGCTGGGTTCAAGTTCAACAAGAAGAGATGTCGTCAGATGTCTGATGGTGGAGACCTGAAACAGAACTGTGGGGGGATTCTCTACTGGATGTCACGGGACCAGAGGGTGCAAGGTTGGTATGCTGTGAATTGTGTTTAAAAGACATCAGGTGGACAAAACAAACAAATATTCTGGATCAGGAAATCTGATATTGACATTTATTGCCCTTTCTTTTCACATTTTTTTCATCATTTCATACTTGAAGTGCTTGAAATATTGGCCAAAAACAAGCTACATTAGACATCTCTTTATTGTTGGGGTACCACCAAGGAATAGCTGGAACCAAGGAGGTTAAATTATATTTAATTATGTATTTAACCTCCTCGCTGGAACTAGGCTAAGACAACAATACAATACAAAACAACTAACGAAACAGACGACTTCGCATTTTTGCCTCAAAGATATCAATACCACAAACCCACATGCTAGATATCTAAGCCACCCAAAACAATACTTCTATACCCAGAAGAAATAACAGCCTGGATAGTTTTTAGCATGGATAAACATCCAAGGGAACTGATTTCTGAAGTCAGAAGAAGTTAAAATATATTTTGTCTGGTGTTTGCTAGCTGACATCTTGTTGTTTGCCCTTAGTTTATCACTAATTCTCTTGACATGATTATATTGTTGTTTTTTCAGATAACTGGGCCTTGTTGTTTGCCCAGCGGCTGGCCCTCAAACACAAGGTTCCCCTGTACGTGTGCTTCTGTCTGGTGCCAAAGTTCCTGGATGCAACCATCCGACATTATGGCTTCATGCTGAAGGGACTAGAAGAGGTGGAGAAGGTAAATATTAATCATAACCTTTCCATCTGTTTTTGGGCTAGCAAGTACAAGGAGCCCAGACTACTAGTAGTTTAACCCCATAACTAATACATATTTCAGGCTTTTTTCACAGTGTTAGGGTCCGGTACAGAAGGACAACTTTCCATTGAGCAAGCTGCACATTGAGTACTTTAGTGGGGAGGAGGTTTTTTAAGAGCAAAGTCTACCATCTTGTTTGTAGGCAAACTACTGTCCTGTATATAAGCATACTGCTGTCCTGTATGTAGGAAAACTCTACAGTCCTGTACATAGACAAACTAGTTGAAACTAACTCTAGAGGGAGCTTATGATAGTCTGGCTGCCAGGCTAATGAATTCACAGTAATCAACATATTGTTGTGGAAAAGGTGGGACATTCATTACAGTACGTCTTCCATGGTTTACGAAAAAGAAGTCTAACCCTTCAGACATGCATGTACTGTAGTTCCAGACAAATAGCTTTTATTATGTAGTTTTATAGTCATTTTGTACCCTGTTTCAATGTTCTTTTGTCCATGTTATTTGCACTTAGTCTTTGGGTAGGAATTTGAAGTAAACTTATGTTGTTTCCTCCTCAGGAACTGACAGAGCTGGACGTGAGTTTCCACCTCCTGACCGGCCATGCTGTGGACGTTCTGCCAGAGTTTGTGTCTGAGAAGAACATCGGTGGTGTGGTGACAGACTTCTCACCACTCAGGACTCCCATGAAGTGGGTTCATGACCTCGCAGGGAAACTGCCCAGTGATGTTCCTTTTGTTCAGGTAAACTAACTAACTAAACAAAGATCAAAGAAAAGCAGCCCGTTAATGAATGTTTTACTGTCAAATCAGATGGAACTGAAACTTGTCACAACATTGAAAAAATAAAGATTTGTCGACTGTAGAATAATGATCTAGTTCTAACTGATGTACTAAGTAGGAGTGCATTGCCAATGAATGAAGCCTTCCTCTTAACCTTTAGCACACTGAGACTAAGCCAGTTGTCCACCAATTCTCTATTTGTTATGGTGTTAGGAAGCAGGGAGAAGGTTACATGACTACATGTACATGTATCATTTATGTTCACCAAAACCTTATCTTCCATACTACTATTACTGGGTAGATGTATTTGTCTCACTTCTTGAATACCAATAGATTTGTTGTATTTCAATCCATTCCAGGTTGATGCTCACAACATTGTACCGTGCTGGGAAGCATCTCCTAAGCAGGAGTACGGAGCTCGCACCATCCGTAACAAGATTCACAACCAGCTGTCCTCCTACCTCACAGAGTTCCCTCCTGTGTGTAAACACCCTCATCCTACTAAAGACAAACCTGAGGTAAGTAAAGTAAATCAGTAAATGTTCATGGTACGTTGATGAAGGTTTAATAGACATCAAGGTAATAGAATACACGAGGTAGTTTTTGTTTTCCCGGTGAGCTTTTATAAGACTTACTGCAAATATGTGTTTTGTAATTATAAGTAAAAATGTACATTGTATTTTGTACTACAGAATTGTTTCAACCGTAAGCTTCAAATACTGGGAGATTTTGCCACCTATTGTGTAATAAAACTACCATGAAAATAAATGCATTTACAGTACTTAGATATGCATGTTTTGGACTCCAGATGCTTACTTTTTTACTTCAGTGGAGGGCTAGTCCACTAGCAGTATTGTGCGTTCAATTACCATTTTCCTCTAAAATGCTGAGTAAGCAGAAAAGTCTTTGGTATGACTCAGAATAGGGATTGAACTTACGACCTGTGTACTCTATCCACTTGGTCATTGCAGCGGTGTACACTGACGTAACAATATGGTGTTTTAACATATTTTATTACCCCTCTCCTCAGCCTACAGACTGGGCTGCAGCCAGGGCCAGCCTGAAGGTGGACATGACTGTTGCCGAGGTAACCTGGGCCACGCCCGGCACCACGGGGGGTCTCCGCCAGCTGGAGTCCTTCTGTAAGCAGAGGCTGAAGAACTTCGGCACCGACAGGAACAACCCCAACAAACGGGCTCTCAGTAACCTGTCACCATGGATTCACTTTGGTAAGGACTGGCTGAGTTTGTGGATTACTAGATGTATGTAAGTTAGTAGATGTGTAGGAATCCATGAAGAAAAAAGAAGACCAATCCATGGTTTCCTCAGCACTGGTTATTGAGCAAAGATAACTGTACAAGAAATGTTGCTATATTATGGGAGGGAAAAAAGTAAAGGGAGTCCCATTGTGTGTTAATCCACAGTGTCTAGTCCCTCTCTCCCTCCACTGCCTTTTACCTCTACAACTGAAGTCAGGTACCCATTTTACACCTGAGTAGAGTGAGGAAAGTCGTATTAAGTGCCTAAAGACACAAGGATACAATGTCTAGCATGGAATGCCTAATCTCCAAGCAGGTCATATGGTGGCCATACAAGTAGTGTCAATTAGCCTTCGGTGTCTAATGGACACTCCTCTGGGCAATGGATACTGTCTTGCCACCGTATGATCTGCTTGGAGGTTAGGAATGCCAGGGATTGAACCTATGACCTCTTGATCTCATCTCTGCAAATGTAGCCACCTGGTCATTTGACGCTTCCCAATTGGAGTACATTGTATGAAATGCATAGCTTGCAACTTAACTTGTACTTCCCTTGCCACAGGTCAGATCTCTGTACAGAGGTGTATCCTGACAGTGAAGAAGTACAGGAGTAAGTATAAGGAGTCTGTGGATGCCTACATTGAGGAGGCCATCATCAGGAGAGAGCTGTCTGATAACTTCTGCTTCTACAACCATGACAAGTACGACTCCATCAAAGGTACAAAATCCATAGAATTCAACTCTTTAAACGGTTCCAAGTGACAGGCAATTTTTTGTGTGTTTCTACTGGTCCTATTTCTTGTGGTTTTATGTTTTAGCTTTTTACTTAATTGTGTAGGCTGAGCTTGTTGTGAGTTGACAGAACTCCATGTGTCGCTGTCAAATCAAGAGATGTATGTGATATGTGGGATGGACATTCACTTGTCTAATTCATCATTCTATAAGAAAACCTTTTTTAAAAGTCTTAAAAGTCCTAGAATGTATAATGCTACAGCAGCAGTCCTTGATAATCTAGTTCTAGTTCTAGCTACTACTCTGCAAATTCCCTACATACAGGGACATCGCGCAGAGGGGAGATATACACATGATTACGGAAGTGACGATAAACGATTCTTAAAAGTTTGTAATGATGGACTCTCAGCTACGTCGGCAGAAAGGTTATTCCACTCAGGAATTGTCCTAGCATAGAATGAGTATTTTGCAATGTCACAGTGTGGTCTCGCAAAATACTCATTCTATGCTAGGACAATTCCTATGTTCCATAATCACTGTTACCATAGATTCAAGAGAAAGGTAACATAGTACTCAATATCTTATAGTAAGTTAGACATGATAATATCTGATTGTGTATCCTGTATCTTCCCCAGGTGCAGCTGCCTGGGCCCAGAAGACCCTGAAGGACCACGCAGGTGACAAGCGGGAGTACCTGTACAGTCGCGAACAGCTGGAACAGGCTAAGACACACGACGACCTGTGGAATGCTGCTCAGGTAAACCTTTAGTTTTTTTATGTTCATTTGATATGTCATGTGTTCAATACCTTGTATACAGCCGTACAGGTAAAAATAGATTTTAAGGTAGTTCCTTAGCCATTTTTGTGTCTATGGGAAGGTATTGGAAGGCAGAGCCCATCCCTCACCTTCCACTACCTTGTACCTCCTCGACCAAACCCATTTTTACTGATTTTAGATCTGGGTTGAGTGAGGAAAGTTGTGTGTGCCATTCCCTCTGACACTATGTATTGCCAGGACTGCAAGGGATAAAACCTTTTACTTCCTCAATTTTGTATCTTGCACCCTAGCTACTCAGCAATTCAATGCTGCATTGTATACAGCATTAAATCTACTTATCCTAAACATGTCTGATGTTCATTTTCCTTCTCTGTTACAGATCCAGTTGAATAAGGAGGGAAAGATGCATGGGTTCCTGCGCATGTACTGGGCTAAGAAGATCCTGGAGTGGACTGAGTCCCCGCAGGTCGCCCTGAAGGAAGCTATCTACCTTAACGACAAGTACAGTCTGGATGGGAGGGACCCCAACGGTTATGTGGGTAAGTCTGAGAGATTAGTGTGGAAGATATGGGAATGTCTGTTGTGTTGTTTTCATTCATTCAAAGATGGTATGTAAATTAGCACTGGGTAGTGGAAGATTATACAAATGTCTGTTCAATGGTATTTTTCATATCTGTAAATGATTTCATTTGGTTAGCAGGAGCAAGGTATAAGAACATGGTTCTTCATTTAACCACCTATAGATTTTTGTATCTGATTTTACATTTTACCATCTGTCACCATTTACATTTTACCATCTGTCACACATAGCTTTAGTATGAATCATTAACAGTCATTGTTGCCTTGAGGAAGGTGACAGACGGTCACTGAAATGTCGGATATATAACCCCCTTGGTTGTTGAATGAAGAATGTCCTTATACATTACATGTCATGTATGATAATCCATTGATAATCCAAGTCTCAACCTTAACCATAGCCAACATTTTTACTCCATGTTTTGTTTGATTGACAGGCTGTATGTGGTCCATCTGTGGCATCCATGACCAAGGCTGGGCAGAACGCCCCGTCTTCGGCAAGATTCGCTTCATGAACTACAACGGCTGCAAGCGCAAGTTCGACGTGGCACAGTTTGTCACCAAGTACAAGGCCAAGGGATTTCTGAAGAAGTAAATCCACAACCTGGATGTGCTATGTGTTGGTTGTACATGTATGATTAATCAATTATGGGTTTCACTTAGAGTAGTAGTTTCTGTAACAGTTCATAAACAATTTTTAAAAAGAAAGTGGAAGAAAATACGCACAAGAAGAATATTGGGAGTGTGTTTGAGATGATAACTTAAGTTGTTAATTGTTCCTTTATTGCTCAAGTTGTATGCCAGTAGTTTGTGCAAAGACCTCAGGACATGAAATACGCACAAAGGAATATCGTGAGTCATACTACGACAAGTATGACAGATATGTCTGTTTGTCATAAAGTGATAAATTTGACACTGGTGTATGTTGCGTGCATACAAGTTGTATGCCAGTAGTTTGGAAATGAAATACGCATAATGGTATATCATGACTAGTGACAAACATGACAAAACAAAAGTTATATGTCTGTTCTGTACATCTAAGTTTTATGCTAGTAGTTAACAGTATGTGAAGATGTTGAAATGAAATACGCACAAAGGTATATCATGAGTCATATAGAAATGAAATACGCACAAAGGTATATCATGAGTCATATAGTGACAAATACTATACATATACTATATGTCTGTTGTGTACATGTATGTATAATATACATAGGAGATAATGCAGTTGTTTTAACTTTTACCATTTGACCAACTTCACATGAAATGCGCACAAAGTTAAGATGGTGATTGTGTTAGCGAAAGTTGTTCGGCCAACTGTTTACTAGAGATCCATCCATATCCACAGACAGACGGAATATTTAACATTTTTCACTACTCAGGCATTACTACAGTGTACATTAAGTTACATGTTCTATTGTAACTTTGTAAATGCACATAAAGTTACATGTATTCTCTACCTCATTGTAATGATGGTAAAGCTATAATTCAATGTAGAAACAAGTGGAACTGTCTCACACCATAATGTAATTTATATTATGTACATTTAATATGCGCACAAAAGTTCTTACATTTCTGAGCACTTTTAACAGTTTTTAGATTATAATATGGAAGCTAATTAGTAACATTAGATTAATCAAAGCAAAGGTGTTATCTAACTACATCCTTGATTAAAAGCGTTTGATATTATCATTAACACTTTGTAGCTTGTGGTATTCTTTATGGTACAGTTATGCATTGAGACTTAGTAAAAGTAACTTTAGGAGGACCTATAGTGTTTTAGAAAAGCGAGAGAATGATATGTTCTTTATATGAGTTTCATTAGGCAGCTACACATGTTTGTTCTGTTTTATGATCAACTTCTATTATTAAAAAGTTTTAGTTGCATTGAGATCTTGGTCTCTTCTTTTTTATTTCTTCATGGGATCCTGAAAACTCAGCGACTGAAGGTTTTTAATTTTCAAAGATGCCAGGCAGGTCGAATATCAAATAAAGTTCATTACAAGATTGGAGTTCACCAATAATCTTGACTCTAGAGTGAAATTTCGCAGAGCCTTGGATGTTAAAACTTGAATTCAAACGCCACGGAGTAAGATGTACAACAAGTCACTGACATTTCAACACCACTGACCTAATTTTAAAATTTGGCGGGAAGAAGGGTCATGGGTCAGGAGAGACCCCATAACGCTTATACACACTGCATGGTGACAAATTGAACCTGTAACTTTTCTTAAGTATAGTATTTCAAGCTGAAGTCATGGCAATAGTGACCATAAGTTAAATTTTAATGGCTTGAAATGAACACAACAATGTGGTGATAAAAGATACAAGTTCATGCCAGTCATCAGGCAATTTTTGTATACGTTTTAGGATTCCTACTGACCTATGACCTTTTCTTCCCGCCAAACGTGAAATCGGTCAGTGGTGTTATGTTTTTGTCCTGATTTGTAAGGCTTATCAACCATACATCTTACTTTAAGCTGTTTAAGAATAAGTTTTATAGTATTTGAATCTTTGCTTTGCAAGTTGTATCCAGCCACGTTTTGAAATAGTAGATCCTTGCGCAGATTTGCGCCGTATAAATTTCATATTTTTTTGCATGTGGGGAGGGGGGCACGCGTTTGTATTTTCAGCTTTTGTCTGGAGAGAATTTTTAGCACAACCGAGGAAAACTCACACTCACTGTTGAGCTTATTTGCAGCCGGCAAGATGGCAGAGAAAATTGAAGACCTGAACCTGCCGAATGCTGTCATCACAAGAATAATAAAAGATGCGGTAAGGATGCTAAATGGATAAACTGAATTTCTGCATGCCATAAGATATAAGGAATTATCGACATGCAAATGTACCCAGAATGGCAAAGCATCGTCCGTTTTGCACCTACTGCATATTCACCACATGCAATTGTTGGCAAACATGTAGGTATTAATTATAATAATAATAAAAGTGTTCCAAGCTTTCTAAGTGCTGCTGTCTGTACTTGTGTTCTGCTTGCCTTACAACAAATTGTGTTCCAGTTACCTGAGGGAGTGAATGTATCGAAGGAGGCCCGCAGTGCGATCTCCCGCGCTGCCAGCGTGTTTGTGTTGTACGCTACATCATGGTATCCTTTTTTTATAGTGCTTATGGTATACACACCCAGTGTGTAACAATGGACATCAAGTTAGCAGTATGTAATCTATAATGGCTGAGTAGTGTTAAATATGGTAGTAGGTGGCAAGTTGGTCTTGTTAGGATTGTTGACTTAGAATCTCAAGGTTCTGGGTTTGAATCCCTGACAAGCCCCAAGGTTCCCTTGGTAAAGGCACCTATCTACCCACTGAACTTACAGATGGGATGTAAAGCCAGAAGTCCTGGGACATGTTAAAGAACCCACTCCACTTATAAATAAAGTAGGGGTCCTTTCCAATGCAAGTGGATCAAAACTTATGCCCCCCCACACACACAAAAAAAACTTGTATCAAAGCTACAATCACAGGAGTTCCTTTCCTTGACCACTCCAAACAGTGCTAACAACTTTGCCCTGAAGGGAAAGAGGAAGACACTGAACGGGACTGATGTGATCGCTGCAGTCCAAGAGATGGAATTTGAACAGTTCCTGGACCAGTTAAAAGACAGTTGGGAAGGTAAAGTATTTCTTAACAAAATTACTAAAAGTAGGTCTGCAAAATGGGAAAAAGAATGCAAAAATCTGAACCTTAAAGGCTCAGTCCTCATCAGAAATGTATGTGTGGAAATTTATGTCTCATAGTTAATTTTATTATGCATTGCTACAGTTATATCAGGGTACTGAAGTTATGTTTTTGTATGCGTATTTAGAGAAACCTTACCATTATCATACTATAGATTCATGTATGCATATCATATAGACTCCATATCAAGTCTACATGTAGAGGAATATGGGTCATGCTTACGCAGTAAGGATACATGTACTATGTATATTATGCAATTTATGCTCCTATATTATGTTGTATACAAGTTGATGAGAGCTATTTGTACTTCCTCACAGCTTTCAAGAAAGAACAAAAGGACAAGAAAGATGCGGCAGAAAAACGGAAAAAGACGAAGGAAGGTGAGAAGGCCGAGGGCAGCAGCACTGGTCAGCCATCACAGGACGAGGTAAACACAAGCACAGAGGCTGCTGGGAACACGGACAGCATGGAACAGGGTGAAGACAAGGACGATGACCAAGAAATGTAGACATTTTATTTACTACTAGTACAGTTGTCATGACTTATCAGAGTTTCTTACATTTTGTATGTGTTTATATTACAATAAGGACAGAAAAAAGTTGAAAAATGTAATAGTCAGTATTCACCTTGTAGTAGCTTGTTGTGCCACCTACTTTGTAATAAATAGTTATCAAAGAGTAACCTGACAGTGTGATTTGTAAGAATGGAAGAGCATCACAAGTTATATTGTGTATTGCCCTTCTTACTACTCTAGAAAACATTAAATCCAGGAATTATGAAATCAAAACTGTCATAGAAATAGAGGTGTCTTTTTCTGAAGAGTTTTACAAACTTGATATAAATTCTATAGTACAGCGTTATATCCATTCACTCCAGTACAATTCCTGATACAGTAATACGGACATTGATACATACAAGTATTATGTATTTCTACTGATAAGTTTGTATAGCAGACATATGTACATGTACAGAGCACTGCCTGATGAAATATTTGTGATCCTGTGCTTTTATCAATAAAGCATTGTTTCTATCATTATTCGTAGGTTGTCTTTTTCAGTATTTCCTTAAATTAATCACATTTTCTTGCTTTTGTCATCAGTTAAATGAATTTTTACACTAGTATAATTAGGTTCATTTGAGATAAAACAAGGCGATTGATACAACTTATCCCCTGCTTGCTTCAGAGTCATCTTAACAATGCAGATGTATTAGATACATCATTGATAATAGATAAGTATAGCTAAAGTACTGTGGTACATGTACCTGACCGTTGCAAATGAAAGTAACAGTACACGACTCCTTTTTCCCTCCTAGATTGTCCCTACAAGTCTAAAAAGATATTCATTTATCTGAAAAACCTTTAAGGCTTAGTCTTTCTTACACGTAACCATACCATACTGTTACAATGAATGAATGAATTTTTATTAACGTGTCTTGCGACTTTTGTCGCCCAGCTTATAAGACACCAAAACATAAACATGAACATAAACATAGGTGCAGAAATCATAGATTCAAGTCCTAATCAAAAGGAAACATCAAATGAAATTAAAGAACTTAATACAAAGTTGTTACATTTCATTTCTCTCCATTGCTCTCCCTCAAGTTTTTATTATGCTGTTCCTTCTGTGTTGCCCCCTTGTCTTGTACACCGTATAGAACCCTCGCTGCACAAATGTTCTCTTGTAGAGCCACATCAATGTTCTTCTGTGAGTCTTTTTTTACTTGTAAACATACCATAATGTTACATTTCATTTCTCTCCATTGCTCTCCCTCAAGTTTTTATTACGCTGTTCCTTCTGTGTTGCCCCCTTGTCTTGTACACCATATAGAACCCTCGCTGCACAAATGTTCTCTTGCAGAGCTGCATCAATGCTCTTCTGCGAGGCTTTGTCAATGTTCTTCTGCGACTGTTACATTTCATTTCTCTCCATTGCTCTCACTCAAGTTTTTATTGTGATGTTCTTTCTGTGTTGCCCCCTTGTCTTGTACACCATACAGAACCCTCGCTGCACAGATGTTCTCTTGCAGAGCTGCATCAATGTTCTTCTGCGAGTCTTTTTTTACTTGTAAACATACCAGACTGTTATATTTTATTTCTCTCCATTACTCTCACTCAAATTTTTATTGCGATGTTCTTTCTGTGTTGCCCCCTTGTCTTGTACACCATACAGTAACCTTGCTGCACAGATATTCTCTTGCAGAGCTGCATCAATGTTCTTCCATGAGTTTTTTCACTTGTAGCTATACCAGGATGTTAACATTTCATTTTTCTCCATTGCTCTCACTCAAGTTTTTATTGCGATGTTCCTTCTGTGTTGCCCCTTGTCTTGTACACCGTACAGAACCCTTGCTGCACAGACTTTCTCTTTCAGAGCTGCGTCAATGTTCTTCTGTGAGTCTTTCTTACTTGTAACTATACCAGGATGTTAACATTTCATTTTTCTCCATTGCTCTCACTCAAGTTTTTATTGTGATGTTCTTTCTGTGTTGCCCCCTTGTCTTGTACACCGTACAGAACCCTCGCTGCACATACGTTCTCTTGCAGAGCGGCATCAATGTTTTTCTGCGAGTCGTCAAAGTACAGATGTGGCCGTATGGCCCTCAACATGGCGGCCTTTCCCGCTCCCGCGCTGAAGTTACACTCGTCGATCTGTAGACACCAGTGGCGGAGAGTGAGGATTGCACGTTTTCCTGTGCTGGCGCCTGACCTGGCGGTTAGGAGGTAGGTGCGGATGGGGCACGGTACTCTCTTCTGGTGAAACTTCTGCTGCAGTGCTGAAATCCTCATGGCAAACTTTGTCATGGGGCCCTGTGGAAATGTGGCATCAGCCATTGACATACACAGTATGTTACATAATTCTGTAAACATTTATGCTGAACTTGAGATCACTTTTACCTTGATTTTAGAACACAGTTTTCTAAAAGATACATACACATAATTGAATTGTTTCCCATACATGCAGATTAATGTATACTTGAACATAAGGCCACACCAATTCAATTTGTTGGTTCTCGGATTCGCCTCTTCATTTTTGTCTGATTTGCAAAAAAAAAATCTGGTTCTGAATCAACTAAAAAAATGCTCATATTTTGCCTCCAACAGTTGAGGAAAGTCCCTTTCTTCCTAGCTCTTACAGTTTTTCCATCTATCAATGCAATGGTTTCATTTGAAGTTCAAATTTCATTGCTCAAATTCTAACCCAGCCTTTTGTGTTGACTTCATGGCTCCTATCGAAGCATTTGGGGCTATGATAGGATGCCTAGACCTGTTTTTATTTTTATTTTTTTCGCCCTGTCGCTTCATATTTTTTCTGAAAAAATCTGAGAACCAACAAATTAAATTGGTGTGGCCTAAAAATGATTGTTTTTCCCATATGTGAATGGCAAACCTATTCCTTCTCTTACCCTCTATATGTTTGTTGTCTTCCTATTACATGTACATGTCATCATTGGTGCATCATGCATGGTCCTGATGTTTAGCAATCTTCTTTCAGGGCCAAAAGTGTTTGAATCCCGGCAGTTGTTTCTTGCAGGACTCTCATGCTACTGAAAAAGGGATGCAGTCTTTAGGACATGATGCTAAACCATGGCTGTTAATGTTGAATAGACTGGGCATTTGTCTGGTACATACATGTACATGTACATACTGTCTTACTTGTTAAACATTTCAGCATGCTTAACTGCATTAAGATATAGCTTGACTACATTGCACTTCTAGCAGCCTTTCCACTGGTCAGGCCCCTAGAAGCTAGCCCCTAGAACACAGGCTAGATTAAGATGCATTTTTTTTTCATTCTTACTACTCAGTTTCTTACCTCATCCAGTGGCGTAGAAACCTTTTGAGACTCGTTTTCGAAGAAGAGCGGGAACCCTCCCGCCTGGTACACCTGCTCTGCCTCGTCTGAGAACAGCACCGCGTCCCCGTCAAACACGATTCTGAGTTCATTGTGTGGTGGGAGGGCTGCGGTGTCGTACTTGTAAACCACCGCTGCGGGGTAGCCTGTATGGTAAGGAACATGTCTTTCTTTACGTTTTAGTTTCCAAACTTGCTGTACCTGCATATGTTATGTTAACCAAAGGAAAACATATTGTTTTTGCTACGTTTCCTCCTCTTCTTCTTCTCCAAACACTGACCCCTGACCTGATTTGTCTCTAACCATGGTAACTGGTGTTGGGTTACATGATGTTGCAATTTCAAAGCAGGAGGGATTTAGACTCCTGTATGACCATATATTTGACATGACACGTAGGAGGGCTGCCATGTTGTACTTGTAAACCACTGCTGCAGGGTAACCTCTATATACATTTATACTTGCCGTACCTGCATGTATACTTAAATGTATGAAATGACATGTTTCCGACATAGTGGAGAAGGTATTCATGATCACTAGGGTAGGGGACATTTGTTTCATGACATATACTTTCAAGTCCTTACAAGTACAAATAAGAGATTTCAGACTTCTGCTCTCTGAATTTCTGATGGCTCCCATTTTTTTTTTTTGACCTGTCATTCTGTCTAGCCTGCCTATGTAAGTGACTGCAAGCAACTCCTGCAAACTGTTGAGACTCTGGATTGCAGAAACAAAGATACTTAAGTTTACAAACCTGTAGCACTACATGAACATGTATGTCTTAATTATTTTTACCCTGTTCCTAGCCTACCCTCCTTAACTCCCCACCTTACCTGCTTGTATGGCCCTCCTGACATCGTCTTCCTCTGGTGACAGGAACAGGTCCACCTTCCAGGCACCCAGGTACTCTGTAGGGTCAGTTCCCTCAGTCAGGGACAGGCGCTCCAAACACAGACCTAAATAAATCAATAAATTTATCAATCAATCAGTCTGATTTCGGAAAGAAAAAAAAAACTTGTTGCCTTCTAACAGTGGTCACCATGCCGAAAATGGGCAAAGATGTCTGTTGCCATGCCGGAAGGTGGATGGCAGAGAGGAGACAAGAAAAGGCTCTGATTTAATGTTTTGTTTCTTACTTTGAATGATATGTAATACTGGCTGTGTATATGTGATGTTCCCACTGAATCAAAACCATTTGTATAATTATTGAGTCAAAATTTTAAAATGTAGGAACCTTGTTTTTTTGACCTGCCTTTTTTTTCGCCTGCTCACATTAGATTTGGAATCTGCGGAGGATGTCATCCATAAATTTACTTGCTGTGGCCTTAAAGTAGTTTACGAGTTAAAGCCATGCAACTCTGCCTCACCATAGTGGTTGATGGAGTTGATAAGCCTGATGGCAGCCTGGGCGTGGTTACGGCTCACAATCACGATGTCAAACAGCTCTATGTCCTTCGGGTCCAGGTCTCGGATATGGTCATTGACCGCTAAAGCGGACTGTAGAAAAAAAAACAACAAACAAACAAACAAACACACAGATCATTGCATTTTTATACAACAAGCCTGGCAATGAATTCCTCTCAGAACGCCATGTTTATGAAAATCTATCAAAAAAAAAAAACAAGGTGGGCAAAAAAAAAACAAGGTTCCTACATTTTAAAATTTTGACTCAATCATTGTACAAATAGTTTTCATTCAGTGGGAACATCACATACACACAGCCAGCATCACATATCACTGCATCAAAATAAGAAACAAAACATTAAATCAGAGGCTTTTCTTGTCTCCTCTCTTCATAGTTATCTGCCATCCACCTTCTGGCATGGCAACAGACATCTTTGCCCATTTTCGGCATGTTGACCACTGTCAGAAGGCAACAAAATTGCTTGTTTTTTTTCCAAAATCAGGTGAAAATGCCCGTGCTGATGTCATCCATAAACATTACTTGCTGTGTCCTAATACAGGCTACCCTTACCTTGACAAACTCAAATGCCGGTCCCTTCGGCAGGATGTCGTCTTCCCTCTCCACCATGTACTGTATGTACGCCTCCAGTCCACGCTCCTGGAACACTCTGTCTTCTTTCTCCAAATCAAACAGCGCTCGTGCTGACAGAGCTACGGTCAGGGTTTTCTTTGTGTCCTTAGGCTAAGGAAAACATTATAGAAAACGTGATTATATTATGAATAGCTAAGTTCTTTGATCACAACCAACTGGTTTACTGTGCACTGACGCTAGATTTTACTTTATATAACTATCGGTAACACCTTTAGTGCATATGCACCAAGTAACATCTAGCGTCAGGGCACAGTAAACCAGTCAGAATTGCCCTGATGAAGATGACAGACGGTCATCGAAACATTGGCTCGTGAAAAATAAATGGTTGTGATCAAAGAACTTTGCTATTCATTCATTTACCAACCTGATGAAATTATTTATGGGTGATTATATTATTTTTACAAATAAGCAATAGAATCTGCAACATACTAAAGTATGTAGATTATAAAAAGGAAGAAGTCATGAAATTCATTCTTATTGGATTACTAGTAACCAAAAAATCAGCTGCAGTTACAAAGAAAGACGCTAGGAGGCGCACAGTTGTGCCATTTCTCCCCACACCCAGTAGCTACCTACCAATCAAGCATCTCAGTTTGTTCAACGTTCAGAACGAAAGATGCAGAGAAGTTAAAGTCGCAGTCAAATTCTTCTGTAGTAGCAAAAAGCATGTAGATTTCAAATATCATCATTTGCCTGTAACCAAAAATCCCCAAATCTACAACAATACTACTTTTATGAAATATCAATGCAAGTAATTATAATATATGAAATGCAGTTTACGTTTTGAAGGGGTTTATATATATTTCAAGGACTGTTGCCTACCGGCTGTACTATGTCATATACTGACGCTGCCATGGCGTAATGCAGTTGTCAGTTGATGATGTTTTTGTATTAGCCTGGGGAGAAAGAGACAAATTTTACATGATGAAGCGAAAGAAAAAAAAGTTATCTTGTCAAATGTCAACGGAAAATGTCAAATATAACAAAAGATATGATTGTCACAAAGAGAAAACAGTAAAATGTGATATTAAATTAGCCCAGTGGGGCAAAAATGTACAATAAAGGTCTTCATTCATTAAAACTAAGTACGTGGCATTTGGACCATACATTATTTTGTCTAAACAAATTTATTTTATACTATTTTCATGCAAGTAACCAATTACTAATATGTCGTACCGAATAATCCGACAGTGTCTTGATACGAGTACGTATATCAGTCTTCAATTGTATTTTTCGTTATGACAAAAACAAGAGTCTATCTATATCGTTTTTATTGTCGTAATATGATAGCGTGTTATGGCGAATATGCGCGAATACACAAGTATCATCCGGATCATGTAACTGACCTTACGTCAGGGAAGCAAGAATATTTCTGGTATTCGTAAACTGTTGTTATTCTTGGCTATATATTCCACAGCAGAGGGCCTTGCCCTAGCCTGGTATCCAGTCTGATCGTGGTCGGGGCCGCAAGAGCTCTGTCCCGCCCGCCTCACACAGGTTTCCCGGTGTGTATTTCACGAGAAATTGATTAGGGGGAAACCAAATCCCCAAGCATACTGTCTCTTATTAGCGTAACACTCCTACCGGGAAGGCCTGTTGCACTGGGCGGGGGAAGCTATTAGAGCCCCCGAAGACACAGCCTGCCTGAACACCCCAATACCCCCAATCACGCTAGACTGGATACCAGGCTAGCCTTGCCCCGGATTGGTTTCAAAGGCAGGACTATAACACTGCATTCATCACAATCTGTAGCTGGAAACCAGAACATAGAAATTGGCTGTCAACATCTCTATCAGTTAGGTGTTTCGTTTGACAGAGTTTACACAAAGAACACTTTGTGAAAAAAATATAGTCTCTTACGTTCGTAATGGCTAAATCTATAGGTCGACGGTTCTGAAATACAAGCGATCATAATTTTTGTGTGTCAACATATTGTCAAGTATAAGCATTTTCATCTGTGTTTTCCGAAAAAAAATTGTATTGAGTACATTCTGGTTCCAAAGCACCAAGCATGAAGTCGGGTAGAATGAAGATCTTTCTATATCATTGTACAATACAGAGAAATACAACTTCTTACATTGCACTTGATAAAACTAAAATGAACCGACTGAGATGACAAGGTTTAGTCTTACTTGCTATGGTTCATCTGTTGAGTTGGGATACCCACGTTGTGAACCTCAGTTGTCACTGCTGTAATTTATCTTGAGCGTCCTTTATTACTGTACATTCATGCCGCCATGCGACATCGATCATAAATGCACCCAATCATACTTGATTTTGGAGCCAATGAAAAAGTTTGATTCGAGTCCTGTATGTTTTAAGTCTATTATGGTTTATCCCCAGAAGGTTTCTGTTCTGTTTGCGAATAAGAGAAACATAATCGAAGAAATACTAAACGTCAAGAGTCCTCCGACTAGGCCACAGTTAGTAATTTTTATGGATGAAATCAGCGCGCGCATTAAATTTAGCCTGATTTTGGAAAAAAAAAATACAAGAAATTTTGATGCCTTCTGACAGTGGTCACCATGCCGAAAATGGGCAAAGATGTCTGTTGCCATGCCGGAAGGTGGATGTCAGATAACTATGAAGAGAGGAGACAAGAGAAGACTGTGATTTAATGTTTTGTTTCTTACTTTGATGCAGTGATATGTGATGCTGGCTGTGTATATGTGACGTTCCCACTGAATATCAAAACCATGTGTACAATGATTAAAGGTCAAAATTTTAAAATGTAGAAACCTTGTTTTTTCGGCCCGCCTTGTTTTTTTTATGCCCGCTTACATCAGATTTGGAGTCTGCGGAGGATGTCATCCATAAAATTTACTTGCTGTGGCCTTACAACTGGTCATCATTCACCTTCGCTACTTGGCAAGTAAAGTTCGGTTGGACAAAATGATTGCGTCACATAAGCAAACTAGCTGCGCCGCCTGGGGGCGAAAATGATGACTGCAGGCAAACCGCAAAGCAAACGTTACGGTCTCATGGTCAACGTAAACTAAACAAAGCCAGGGGTGTACAATACGTCCTCGACCTTTCCACAGTCTATACGTGTTAGCCTTGGTTAGCCTTAGGGATTTACGTCAAGCGAAGATCTAGAGACAACTCAATGTCTCACTACAAGGCTTGTTTAAATCACGTTTTGTCTCTAGTCATAATAGAGGATTTTATTTCTTTAAACAGCGCCTTCCCCAAGTACGGCTAACGCCCAATCGTATACGTCAATCCCAATGGCACCACAATAACATGGATTCTAATATTGAATGCGCAAAAAAGCAACGCCCAAGTAAATGAGGTTTTAAAATGTAACACACACTATAAAACTTGAGGGCGGAACCCAAAGTACGGAATAAACTGTAAACGCTTACTTTGTCGTCAGGTATTAAAGAAATGTTAGGAGAACGCCCATAGAGATGGGGCTAAACATAAGATAAACAGTGGGATCGCCATGGTTTTTTTGGAGGGGGAGGGGGCTGGGCGTCCATATAACCTGACTACCTGTTGATGTAGGTAAAGCATAGCCTCCACCAGGCCTTTCTACGGGAATACGGATCGTAGAATTTGGCAGAAAGGAGAGTAAAATTGGCCAGGGGAGTCCGGCCGCGGAAGGTAGTTTATTTCCCTGCGCGGCCAAACTCCCCTGGCAAATATTCTCCTACATATATATCCAGCATAGTTAGTCTGGTAGAGACTAGGTCAAGCAAGGGGACAGGTGGGTTAGTTATTTTCATTAGTCCGAGAAAGGACTGAAAAACAACTTGGTGTTAACTACACTTCGTTTTCTAATGAAAATTGACACAGACAGTATTGCAGTGTGGATACAAGGCGTCGGTGTGGCCAGCGACTATCGAAGAGGTTCCCTCCGACCTGTGTGCATGACTTTTTCGAGCCAGCGAGTATAGGACTTTTTCAGCAAGGATAAACCAGAACGAGTTCTGGAAAAGGGTCCACGACATCATATTATGACACCAGATAGTGTGTCGTGCGAATTTTGCACGACACACCCTGGACTGTCGGGGGAGTGTCCGTAATTCTGTCTTGCGACGAATGTACCCGGGCCCACTTGGCCTTGCTAGAAATTCTGCGACAAAAATCGTACGACATATAACCAGGATGGTGCTCTTGATATGTATGTATTTAATATTGGGTGCAGCGATTTTCTCACCCCACAAAACAGCCCACAACGGATAATGGGAACATAGACATAGAGCCGCCTGGTCCCACATGTTTGACCTAGAACACCGGCGTCCGGTGTACCGCGTCCGTCTAAACACTAATCAGGGATGAAAGAAATGGAAGGAACTTGTTTCTATAGTTTCTCCGAAAGTACTGGTCCAATGACCAAGTGCCAGAAAAATCTGTCAATGAAGTGGGAACATACATGCACTAGTAGGCCGCCTGTTCCCACATATTTGACCTAGAACACCGGCGTCAGATGTACCGCGCCCGGCCGTTACTTAAGATTTGTTGAATAAACATTGAGAGATGAAAGAAAATGAAGGAACTTGTTACTATATTGTCTCCGAAAAACTGGTCCAATGAGTGCCAGAAAAATCTGTCAATGAAGTGGGAACATACTAGTAGGCCGCCTGTTCCCACATATTTGACCTAGAACACCGGCGTCCGGTGTACCGCGTCCGGCCGTTACTTAAGATTTGTTGAATAAACACTGAGGGATGAAAGAAATGGAAGGAACTTGTGTCTATATCTTCTCCGAAGAACTGGTCCAATGACCAAGTTCCAGAAAAAACTGTCAATACAGCGGGAACATACTAGTCTACCCACCTGTTCCGACATGTTTGACCCTAGAACACCGGCGTCCGGTGTACCGCGTCCGGCCGTCACTTAAGGTTTGTTGCAAAAACACTGAGCGATGAAAGAAATTGAAGGAACTTGTTTCTATATTTTCTCCGAAGAACTGGTTCAATGACCAAGTTCCAGAAAAAAAAAACTGTCAATGCAGCGGGAACGTATTATTACTAGTCGACTGCGTCCCACATATTTGACCTGGAACACCGGCGTCCGCTGTACCGCGTCCGGCCGTTACTTAAGATTTGTTGAATAAACATTTAGGAATGAAAGAAAAGGAAGGAACTTGTTTCTATATTTTCTCCGAAGAACTGGTTCAAGTTCAAAGTTCCAGAAAGTCTGCCAAGGGAACGAAGCTAACTGCCACCTTCTGGTGACGACTTGCATCTGCTGTTCGAGTATAAGCCAGACAAGTTTTTGCATATGTCATGTTATATTAGGGTTGCTGAGAGGGTAGATCTCTCCCGGCACTTGATTTTGGCGCTCCCAGAAGAAGACTCGGCAGCTATAACACTCCAGACTATGCATGATGTACAAAATGACTAATAAACTGGTGGACGTCCCAACTACTAAGTACCTAATACCAGCCTGACCAGAAGAGAACAAGAAATAGCCATGCCTTCAAGTACCAGAGTTATCAACCAAGGATTGAGGTGTTCAAGAATTCATTCTTTCCTAGAACTATCGTAGAGTGGAACTCGCTGTGACCAAGTACAGTAGGGGCATTATAATTGGATAGCTTTAAACAATGTCTAGAGTTAGAAGTTCAAGGGTTAGGTGTAACAGGTCGATCTGTGTGCCTGCGAAGCTGGTGTGTTACGCCGAAAGGCGGTTATACCGGCTATACAGATACAGATACAGATTAGCCTCTACCAGGCTTCGGGTAGCAGCTGGAAAGAGTAGAGATTGGCCAAATAGACAAATGATATGCCAGGATAGTTGGTCCGCACTAGAGTACAGTTCAGGTCAAACTTTTCTCTTACCGTGAACCAACTCCACTGGCATATCTTCTGTCTATTTGACCAATTCCTACTCTTTCCAACCGCTTCCAGAAGCCTGGTAGAGGCTAATCTCCAAGCAG